ACAGAAAATAATAATCCATAAACAATCCGATCATAGAATGTTCAAATCCTAAAACGCTTTGACAGACGGATTAGTTTTAGCATTAGAAGAAACAGAACCGCCAGACCCACTTTTTGTTTTTGCACAATCTTTCCAACTTCTGGAAGCCAAAGCCGCCAAGAACTTATCATTCCACCGGCGGCCGCCATTACCACCCGCTGCCGCCACCGATACCGCCGCCACCTTATTGCAGGCATGGTCGGCGGGGAATCGGTGCTTAAGGCAAACCTTGAGGTGGCAGGTTTTGCAGACGCTGGAATTGGAAAACGTCAACGCCTCCTTGCAACGCCTAACGGGACACGTCGGTTTCTTCTCCCGGTTGGGATCGCAGCTTCCAGACTTTGCGTGCTTCTCAAGCAACATCTTCTCGCCTTCGCCGTCGCGGCCGGTGGTCTCTATGGAGGCCGAGCAGATCTCGCAGACGACGACCTTTCTGCTGCCGTGGTCGGATTTGGGGCACTCGTGGGACTTGTAAGAGCGGTGCTCAAGACAAAACACCTGCATAGCAACAATCGAATAATCCAATTCATTAGCGTTTGAAATTTCAAGAATTAGGAAATCTTGATTAGAGTTTTTGTACCTTTTGACAACCGTCGCAATTGAAGGGAAGAAAATCGAGTTGGTGGCAATCGGAGTGCTGGCAGTGTTTTCCCAAATCGGGAAAAGCTTCGGTTCCTCCTCCCATGGCGTCTGGTTTGGATTGAGAGAAGAAAAGATGGGAATCGAAAACTCTGAAATGCTTTTGTTTAGATTTTTGGAAGAGAAAGAAACGGAAGAGAGATAATAAGATAGAGAAAAGAGAAAAGCTGAAAGTTTGTTGATGCAAAACTTGTAGATTTATAGGTAAAGGTCGCGTATTGACTTGGGGCGTAAGCCAACGCCAAAGGCAGGACAAACCAAACCGGAAACCGCCATTGTTTGTTAACGATGCTTCCGGTCCCACACGCTAATCTCCTACCTTTTAAATTTCCACCTCGGATTTTCTTATTATTATTTTTTTGAGGAGTGGATTTTCTTATTATTGACGTCAAGAGAAAACGACAATAAATGCTAGAACGACAGGTAAAAAAACGAGAAATGTGAGAACGACAATACACATTAAACGACAATACGAAGAAAAACGTAAAATATAAACGACTAATGTGATATACATAATAATAACAATAATAAATGAAAACGACCAATGTGAAATACATCATAATAAATAAACAAAAAAAGGTGTTACGGTGAAACGACAAGTAATGTAAAAACCACAACAAATATCAAAGTGTATAAAAATTAGAAAAGACAACACTTTGATTAGCAAAAAAAAAAAAATGAAGAGACAACCTTTTGCTATTTGACAGATATAAACGACAAATAATGTGATAAAACGATTTGCCTTTTGATATTCATAAACCACCGTTTTTATATAAACAAAAAACGACAAAAGAAATCAAAAGATATGTCGTCTTCCTTGGATAGTTTGAACTGCATTTTCTTTACAGTTTACACCAGTTTTTTCTTTAAAAATGGGGGGGAAAGAAAAAAAAAGACATCACAGAAAACGATGTGCCGTTTAAATATCTTTACAAAACGACGCTTAATTGTCGCACAAGCCCGGAGACAACGTGACCCCGTGGTCATCTCTCATATGTGGGTTCTCTCTTTTTTTTTTCTGGACAAAATTACGGTCCCGTTCATTTCGCTGATTCAAGTTTTGTTACAGTAAAAAACTCTCATAAATAATCACATTTAATTTTTTTGCTACAGTAAAAAGCTCTCACATAAAATTAAATCTTAACTCGAATCAGCGAACTAAACGGGTCCGTACATATGTGAAAGTTGGAATTGAGATTTATAAAGTTGTTATTATTTTTTTGAAGGCATTACGTGTTATTGTTTTGTTTGCTCATATAATGAGATTTATACGATGTCCAAAAACCATGCGACAGAACAGGAAAAAAAAAATAATAAAAGTGTTTAATTAATTGATAAGGACTAACATATCAGTATGTCAAGTTTTTTAAACATAAAAGTTAGAAAGTATGTAAATCTAATAATTAGAAAAATATGACCTATTGATACACCGGCGTACCAGAGAACCTCCATAATAATAAATATAAACTAAAATTTTAAAGAATAGACTTTCTCTGGTACGCTAACATACCGGTATGTTAAGTTTTCTATTCGTTAAATCTGTACAAAAGCATGTAAAAGTAAAAAAATATACAAATCTAACTGTTAAAAAAACTTAACCTACCGGTATACCGGTGTATCAAAAAATCTTCCTTTAAAGAATCCTATAAAGATAGCAGACTAAATTTATAGGGAAAAAACTTATTCATTACTCTTTAACCCCACATGACTTCACGTCCATCATAAAATTTGTTATCATATGGAGAATTAAGGTGGTTTTGTAGTTTTTTTTTTTTGAGACTTTCTCGGTGTCATTTCTTTTTAAAAACACCAGTATTTTTTTATTTTTTAACTGTCAGATCTATATTAAAATTTATTTATTCTGTATATATTTTTTAATTTAATGTGATTTTAACTAGATCTGATGACTAAAAAAATAAAAAACACCAGTATTTTCAAAAAATTAGGAACACCAGCGAAACTCTCTTTCTTTTTCTAAATAAATCTTTTCCTTTTCGATATTTGAGAATCCAATTCCTTCTCCACAAACTTGCAGATCCCCCGGTTCAATTTTTTTTAAAATAAAAATAATAATACTTTTCAGCTCAACCCATAAAAAAAGTTTTTAAATAACAAGAGATTGTCTATTCTCTATATATATATATTTTTTTTTAATTTAGTGTGATTTTGATTAAATTTAACACTAAAAATGTAAAAAATACTGGTGTTTCTAAAAAAAAAAAGAAACACCAAAAAAATTTCTAAATAACAAACCAAAATTATTATTTTTTGTAATGAACTTGAATATTTAGGATTTGAATTCTGATTGAATTTACTACTCTTATCTTTTTTTAGGATGAAGTTTATTATTATCTTTTATTAAATAAATAAGACAATTTGACTTTTCTAAATGTTTGTCATGAAACTATAATTTTTCTTTAATTGGCTGAAATGCTGATTCAAGCAATTTGCCTAAAGGCAATTACTTTAATTCTGAAAAAGCAGCACCTTTGACCGGAAAACATGAAATTTGCAATCCTAAATTAGCCTTCATCAGTATAATCTAGATTGAGCTTCACAATGATTCTTAAAAGCCTTCATTTTCATTTGTGTCTACCCTGGAAAAATCAACAAACATGTTTCCAGAAACTAAAGTGCAGCAAAAAGAGGGCAGTCCTCTAAAGACAAAATGGTAAAGAATTTATATATTTGGGAAAAAGAGTTCTTGTGCGTCCAAAACAGAAGTCAAATTTCGTAAACATGGTGAGCCTAAAAGAAAGAGAAAAGTGAAAAGGATATTTTTATTTGTTAAGCATAATTCAGGCAAAGTTATATTCCCAGAGTCTAAAAACAACACAGAATGGGAAGACTGAAAAATAGGTGTTTTTCACCTTTCAACCGTACAGGTATCCATGTGAGGACTAGACAAGAGTTGTGGGGGAGTTATTGCTCGGCTATTATTAATAACAAACAAAAAAGGTGTATGCCAATTGTAAAGGTATTGCACTCTTTTTGTAAAGCTAAAAAGCATGCATTACAAATTCACATATAAGAAGGATCTTTCTAGATGCTGTATTTGGATGCTAATAGACGTCCGGAGAATAAAACTCTGTTTACTTGTTGAGTTAGTGGGTCCTACACTTAAAAGTTAAGGATACATGGTTTAATGGGTGGCAAAGACAAACACAGCTAAATAATTAGCTCAAATTGTTCAGGCTTTTGAACATTGCTCATGGATGTAGGACCTCTTCTTAGTTCAGAAAAAAACCATGCACGTACCTTCCTCACGTGTAAAGTTAGGTAACTTGATTTGTGTTATAATCATATATAAATATAACTGAGCATATTCTCCACTAAGATGATTACTTGAGTGCCAAAACGAAGCTGAATTGGATGAAATAGAAGAATAGGGTTCGATCATAATCGCCTACAACTGCCCTACACTGTCAACTAATTAGTATCATTTTTGAACGTAAACAAAGGAAACAGACCACAACAATTAACGTGAAAGACCCCCAAGTTATGGAACATGTTTTAGATCTGTCCAATATTTGGAGGAAATGAAAGTAAATAATCTTTAGGCATGTGTGTTGAGCAGCCAAAAAGAATCGATAACTTTGGTAAAGAAAAAAGGAGACCTGTCCAGCCTAATACACTTACAAAGTCGATAACAAATACTACGGAAACTTAGCAACTAAGCATGCAATAATGATGAAGGCAGTGCCATTATTGCTGACTTAATTAGTTGGAATATCTCCATTCTCCATGCAAAGTGATGAGAGAGAGCCATTTTCCACCAATAAAAAAGGAAATAAAAATCTTTTGGAGGAAAAAGGGAAAAGTGTGAGGGGCCCTCTCCTTTTGATTTTCTCAACGAGTGAGTATAGTGGGATAAAGCAGCTTGGTCTCGAGCAGCTTGTATTTTTCTATAGAAAATAAAAAAGGTTAATCAATCGGAAGGAATTAAGGCTGGGAATATAGGTCACGATACGAATTTTATAAGTTATGATTGAGAAAAAAGATGTTCGGATTAAAATTAAATCGATTTGAAATTGACACGAAAAATATGAATCAATTTCAAGTTGAACCTGCCTAATCCGAATACAACACGAAATTCATAAAAAATTAAAAAATACATATATTTTTCATTTATATATCACGGAGTTTCTATTATGTCACGGAGTGAAAACCTGTTTAGGCTGTAAAGTGCTAATAATAAATTTTTGTAAATCATTCATCTAGATCAATAAAAGAAAAAACAAAACAAAAAATTCATGTTAAGCCAAAGGGAAAAAAAAAGGACCGGTAAAAGGGGTGGTCTGGTTGTTAGTACCTTTACTAGTAGTTTCTCTTCCACAGTCATAATATCAAATGTTGCATTAGAAATAACCAGTTTTAGTCCAAAAAAAGAGGGTGATGAGTAACGAATACATAATAATAGGATTTATTTAAGTTATGTGGAATTATTTTAAATCTTAATATTTCTTTGAGTTTGATTATTGATAAGAACTAGATTTGTTTTAAGATTTCTATTAGAATTATTCTACCATTTGTCCTTCTATGTTTATTATTTAGATTCAAGTCATGTGTTTAATTTTAATATTTAAAATGATGTCTAACCAATTGCAACATAACACATCATTTAAAAGTTTTAAATTAAAAAAAAAAAAAAGATTACTCGTTGAGTAAACAGCTGATCCTTAAAAAATAAAATAAAATAACCTGAGATAAATCCAAAAGGACGGGTTTTCCGTTTATCTATTCTTTTTGAATTTTTAAAGTAATTCAGGTGAAGCCAGAGAAGCAATCTTGTTGAGTAGTTCCGTGTTTGCACCACCTATTCTTTTCTGATTGGCCTGATTTTCCCGAAAGACAGGGAATTAGAATCCCATCATTCCCCATCACCAAAAACCCAAAACCCAGTTCATATTTTCCACAGCCTTCAATCTCTCTCTCTCGTTCACCGTCTTCTCCGACTATCAGAAAACCAATGACAAGTTAAGAAACTGAAGAGCTTTGATCTTTTTTTTTTTTTGTGTGTGTGCAGAAGAGTGGGAAAAAGATGGAGTTTCAGGAGGGTATGATGACGTTGATGTGTGTGTGCAGAAGAAGAGTGGGAAAAAGATGGAGTTTCAGGAGGGTATGATGACGTTGATGATCCACCAACCTGTGGAGAAGAAACAACGTGAACGCAAAAAAGAGAAAAAAGCAGAGAAGAAGGGCACAGAAACGGGAAATACCAGGAGTAAATGGAAGATTTTTCAGAGGTCTTCATCGAATTCAACTGTTCCGTTGAAGAATGAAGTACCGAAGAAGGAGCCTCCGAGGGATTTTCTCTGTCCCATCACTGGTTCTTTAATGGCGGACCCTGTTATCGTCTCTTCCGGCCACACCTTCGAGCGTGCCTGCGTCGATGCCTGTAAAGCTCTCAACTTTACGCCCATTCTAATGGATGATTCAATAGCCGATTTCTCCTCCGTAATCCCCAATTTGGCTCTAAAATCCGCTATCGCCGCCTGGTGCCGAAGCTCCTTCATTGACGCTCCCAAGCCTCTTGATTCCGGTTCCGCGGAGAAGCTCCTCCGTACGTTCATGGCGTCCTGCTGCCAAAGTCCAAAGAGCAAAACCACAACGGAGGAGAAGGAGAAGATGGTGGTTGTCGTCACCGAGAAGGAACTGATACAGACGGTCAGAGAAAGCCCTAGACTGAATTTGGCGGCCGAGATCGCACGACGTCGTATTCAGTTCTCCTCGAGCTTGGAGGAGTCCGTTGAAATGATGACGTCGCGTATGACCCCGCCGGCTCCGCTCGCGATCTCGTCGTCGTCGTCGTCGTCGGAAATTCCGCTCTCGAACTCCTCCTCGTCGTCGTCGGAAATTGAAGCCCCAAATCGTAGTATTTCTTCTTCTTTTTCCTCCGAAGAAGAGGAAATAGTGATGAGTCTAAAAAGCCAACAAGTATTCGAGGTCGAGGAGGCTCTGATCTCGCTGAGAAAGATCACGCGGACCAGAGAAGACACCCGGGCGCACCTCTGCACTTACCGGCTCCTCTCAGCCCTACGATCTCTGATCGTCTCGAAGTACACCGGTGTTCAGGTGAACTCGGTCGCAGCGTTGGTTAATTTATCATTGGAAAAGTCGAACAAGATCAAGATCCTACGGTCGGGAATAGTCCCTCCTCTGATCGACGTCCTCAAGGGTGGGTCCCCCGAAGCTCAGGAGCACGCCGCCGGTGCGGTCTTCAGCTTAGCCCTAGACGACGACAACAAGACCGCCATTGGCGTCTTGGGAGCTTTACAGCCATTGCTGCACTTGCTCCGAGCCTACAGCGAGCGAACTCGGCATGACTCGGCCCTGGCTCTGTACTACCTCTCACTCGTTCAGACCAACCGGTTCAAACTCGTTAAGCTCGGGGCGGTTCCGGGTCTTCTGAACATGGCCAAGACAGGCCACATGACGGGTCGGATCTTGCTGATTTTATGCAATTTGGGCTCGAGTGTCGACGGGCGGGTTGCGTTGTTGGATGCGGGTGCGGTGGAGTGTTTAGTGGGTATGTTGAGAAGGGCCGAGTTGGTGCCCGAGTCGACTCAGGAGAGTTGCGTGGGCGTGTTGTGTGCACTGAGTCACAGCGGGTTGCGTTTCAAGGCGGTGGCGAAGGAGGCAGGGGTGGTGGAGGTGCTGAGAAAGGTGGAGGCGACGGGGAGCGCAAGGACAAGGCAAAAGGCGAGGATGGTGCTAGAGGTAATGAAGGGAAAGGAGGAGGAGGAGGAAGTGGATTGGGAGGAGTTGCTCAACGAAGAGTTCGAGAGTGAGACTCGGTTCGGACTCGGGGATGGAATCGGTGAGTCAAGTGGTAACTCGTCCTAGTTTTGATCGAGGGGTTGGAGTTCATGACTCGTTTCGCGCGTTTCGTCATTTATTATTTTATCTTATTTGGAGGGCCTACATTGTAATTATTTGGAGAAGTTTACAGGAATTTTTTTTAGGTGGAAAATGGAGAAGTTGGCTATTGTATTGTGCTTTGCTCTCATTCAGTTTTCTTTCGCTCGAATTAGGAATCTTGAAAAGTGTAAATAAAAACGAGGCTTTGAGAAACTTAATTTGTGCCCGTTGTTCATATTCTTTTTTTTTTTTTTTGGTTTTATGTATACGTGTTAATTCTTATCGTTGTCGAGTTTTATACATTTTCTCTTGACAAAGCATTTGTAGCTTTAATTAGGATTTACTTTGTGGTGTCTTTTGGCTCTAGTCATGTCAAGTGTCTTAAACCTAGGAATACAAGTGTTTTATACATTTTCTCTTGACAAAGCATTTGTAGCTTTAATTAGGATTTACTTTGTGATGTCTTTTGGCTCTAGTCATGTCAAGTGTCTTAAACCTAGGAATACAAGTTCCATTTTTTCTAATATGTTTATATGATTTTCGATTAGGCTCAAACGTAGTAAATGGGATCAAGTTGGAGCACTAACTGAAATTCAAATGGTACAAACTCATAATTATAAAACACCAACAATGAAGGCCCGTTCATTTCGTCGATTCGAGTTTAGAATTCGAGTTTTACTACAGTAAAAAGTTCTCAGAAACAGTCACATCTAACTTTTTTGCTACAGTAAAAAGCTCTCACACAAAATCACATCTCAACTCGAATTATAAACTCGAATCAGCGAAGTGAACGTTCTTATTCTTGGTATTTCCAGTCCTTTGTGCTTCTTTTCGAAAACCAACAAATGGAAGTTGTTAGCTACGACTTCATTCTTATGAAAGAAAAAGCCCAAGGCCCAACCAAGTTTGATGGATGTAAAATTAACTAAACTCTAATCAGTAAACAAGAGCTGAACATATTGGAGGCATGTTTGTTTGCCCCTAAAATGATTAAAATTTTACATTTTAACCCTTTATACAATTACAATACATTATGACACTAAATATTGTATTGTATTATGATAAGACAACACAACATAATACAATACAATACAATATACCTTATACAATACAGTACAATACAAGCTACTAAACATAACCTTTGTGTGTGTGTCGGCTTTTGTCGCAATTCCCCGGAGAAAGAGGAAAACAGGAACTCGTCTTTGCTTGTAAAAGTTCCACCGTTTGCATCTTGGAATGAAATATGAATTAACAGGATTAAATTGAAAGCTAGACGAAGTGCAGAGAGAGTTTATCTTGAAACAGTTTTGGGTAAAATGGGATGTAAACTATGAAGCTTGGGTACCATTTTGAGGAAACCAAGGCAAGACATGCATGGTCATGACCCTCAAGGACAAGTCATTTTCAACTTTATCAATCAACTTCACTCTTATCATATTTCCTTTACCAACTCCAACTTTCAACCTTCAATCTTCAATTTCAACCCCACGTCCCCACCCATGATACGGTCAGGGCTCTATGGTTCAATACTTGTGGCCCACATTTTCCTTTCCCCATTGACCCGCACGTGATTTCCAGCTTTTCATACAGCGAAAGCCCAACCAAGTTTGATAGGGATAGGCCCAAAATTCATCCAAACCATTCCAATTAGATTCTTGGCACAAGGTTTTGTCACCTGTGCACTCCTTGTCGTTCAACGCCAAAGATCACCCTTGCTTGAGGTGCATGGCGCCATGGCGAGATCTCCCCTGCATGGGAGTGCCATGTCTGGATCGTCCCTAACTACGTGGTCTCAACGCATGATCTTCCTTCCTTTCAGTGTTGCTCCGCTGTCGGCAACACGCCCCCCTGCCTCCTCTCCCTCGAGTCCTTTTCTTGTGAACTTTTGGTATTCCATTGAGAAATTTCAGGTTGCACAATAGATTAGAGAGCTGGTAGCATGGTCGGCTACTACCGGTAATACAGTAGCAGCAGTCTTTTTTTTTTTTTTTTTTTTTTTGCGTGACAAGAAATCATCTCAAAAATTGCGATCGTCACATTTGTAAAAGTCCCCTTCTGTCACATTTGTAAAAGTCCCCTTCTGTTTTGAAACTTAAGAGATGTTTAATTGAAGGATTCAAACTATGATTTGAATCATGGTTTATAGTTCGTATATTTTGTGTGAGAAAAAATACTGTACCAAATTACGAATTATGATTCGAATTATGACATGAATCTAACAACCAAACAACCTAAGATAACATGAAAAGTGAACCAATGTAGAAAAGGTTTTCCCATTCAATGCTCCAAGATTTATAGTTAAGCTTACAAACCTCGCAAAAGTTTGTTTCCTTTTTCATATGTTGTGGTTCTGATTCTAATGAAACCAGAACCAAACTCACAAAAAAAAAACAAAAAAAAAAAGAAAAGAGAGAGAGAAGAAGAAATCAAGAGGACTACAACACATTCAATTTGGTAAAATTCATCATGCATGTTGTCTTATCGCAGCCCCAACTAGCACATGCCTGTCAGGTGTCGTTTCCCTTTTCAGACATTGAGTGTTTTCTTTTTTCTTTTCACTGTGGCCTCCCCAGGTGTTGAGAAGAGATCACTTTTAGCAAAATGTTAAAAAAGGATTCTTCAGTAGAGAATCAGATAACGTAATGCCACGGCCACGCACATGCACAACTCGACTCACAGAGGCCAAACCAAAGTCTCACAATTATTGCTCAAAACAAGGAGAACAGGCGAAGTTCAACCCAAAAATTTAATCAAAAAGCTTTACTCTAATCACTTCATTAATTATATTATAAACAATCTTAATTTATCGAAAGAAGTAGTTTTCATCTCTTGGGTTACTACAAACCCCATACCCAAACTACAATTAATTGACATTAATAACCACCACTTTTCCCGTAACTTCACACAATTTGAAGAAAACAGAGAAGAAAATAAATAAGTATATCTTTTTTAAGTTCAGTAAATATCCGGTTGATACAACAAAACATGTATACAGAACAAATATTAATCACCACAGAACCAAGAAAGAAGAAGACTTGAAGAGAAAATTGCCCTCAACCAATCAACCACCACTCAATAAACAACAAGGACAACGACAATAACGTCATTAATTAAGATTAATTCAAGTGATTAAGCTTAATTAATCTGATCACACCTTCGTCTAATCTCTCCAGCTCTTCCGGTCTTGACTCCATAGACGCTGAGCTTCTGCATCGCCAGAGCAAAATCCGTAAAGAACCTGTTTTCGTCCCTGGCGTACAGGTCGACGAACGGCTTCGTCGCCGGATCGCTGTTCAGAGTGTGATCCGATTTCAGAAGCCCTAATCCTTTCGCTAGGTTTTGGAAGTACATGTTGTCGAACTTGTTGGGAGTCATGATGTCGTTGAAGACGGACAATGTCGGGTTGTTGTGGTAATCAGCGCAAGCTTTCCGCAATCCGGCGGCGAATCTAGGATTGTATTGGGGATCGCACTGGGAAGATTTGCTGTAATTGTAGATCCCATCGCTGAATTCCTTGCAATGGGAGAATCCGACGGTGTGGGCACCGCATAGGGCGACCATTTCCTGGACGGAGAAGCCGCGTTGGGCGAAGATTCGGGTGATTTCGGAGATCGGCATTGTCGGTTTGGGGAGATTGCCGTCGACATCTGAGGCGCGGGAGACGCGGGAGTCTTTGCGGCCGAGGGGGACTGTGTAGAAGGGACCGCCGACCATGGTGAGGAGGTCGCGTGTAGCGACGGCGAGAATGTCGGCGCAGGAGACGGTGTTGGGGCAGGCGAGCTCGATGGCGGTCTTAGCGCGGACGACGACGTCGAAGGCATCGCCGGGGAGGGAGAGGTTGATGTCGGCGTCGCGCTCTGCCTTGTTGAAGGGGGTGGAGGAGAGGAGCGTGGAGGCGTCGCAGCCGTTGAGGAGGCAGTCGTGTAAGAAGAGCCGGATTGTGGCGGCGGCGGTGGTTGGGCTCGCGATCTGCTTGTTGGTGACGGTGTCCTGCACGATCTGCTCGAATCTCGGACACGATTTTCGGTAGTAGTTAGTGTACAGCCTCGGAGATGCCGCTCTTGCTCCACTCCCTCTGGGCTTCGCCTCCACTACCGCCATGGAAATGGCGAGTAAGAGAAGGAGGAGATTTTGCATTTGCATGATCGCCATTGCCATGGTTGAGACTTAAGAGGTGTTTGGATTGGGGTGATTGAATTCCTCTGTCTTAAGATAAAGGATCGGGCTTTTTAGCTCAAATGAAGTGGTGAGAGGGAGAGTGTGTGTGGGAGTTCTAGAGAGAGAAGTAGATTGGGAGGGTTTCACAATCTACAGTCAAGTGTGAACTGTGATTTCTTTTTGCTCCTCCAATCACGGGAAGCGTGCTGCTCTGAAACCTCTGGCGCGTGGTTTTTCTTTTTCTTTTCTTTTTTCCGCGTAAAGAGTTTTAGCTGGCTGTCCAAAAAAGTCAGAATATCCTTTACCAAAATTCTTACTGTTAAATAACGCGCTAAATTATCAAATAAAAATAATCGTATTAAAAATTCTATTTTTGAATTTACAAATTGCCATGACGAGTGATGAGTTTGGTCAGGATAGAAAAACTCACGTAAATAACACATCTATACTTTCTAAGCCCTCGCTTATTTTTTAAGTTTTTATAGTTAAATTTTTTTAAAAAATATCACATTTAATTTTTTTGTTACAATTAATTCAAAAAAACGTTATATCATAATTTAAATTGAAAATTTGAATTTGTAAAACAAACAATATCTAAATTGTGAAAAAAAGGTTAGAATAGTGAGAGATAAACACAAAACTACTTATTTACTTTTACTAAATTCTGAAACTGAATATTTGATAACACACTAGTTTATTGGGAAAAATAGAATAGTCGATTCACTAGTTTTTATTAGAATATCGAATTACAGTATAATCACAAAAAATCATTGGAGTGTTCGTGGTCGGGTTGGACTTTTTTTTTTTTTTTTTAAGAAACCACCAACCAAATGAAAATAATTTTTTTTAGACTATTTGATATTTTTAACAAAAACTAAATTGAATAAAATCACTCATAAACGGTTTAGGCGGTTTAAGTTTAAAACTAAAAAGTTTGCAATGATTCATAAAAATTATAAAATCGTTAATCAATAAAAATAAAAATAAGGTTTAAGTTCACAATATAACTTAAAAATAACAAATGTCTAAAAGTTCACAATTTAAAGTTTTAAAACAAACCAATAAAAATATGATAGGGTATATTTTATACGTGTAGAACATTTATTATGATCAATACAAATTAAAATAAGTATAAACATATATTAAAATTAAAAAATATATATGTATATTTTTGGGCAGATTAGAGGACGTTTAGTTGATGTATTCGTGTCATGATTTGAATTATAGTTCGTGATTCGCTACAGTATTTTCTTTTACAAAAAATACATGTAAATCGATAATAATTTAAAATCACAATTTTAAATCCATAAACTAAATGTCAACGCAATCTATGATTTGAAAACTTAGATTAAAAAATCAATTAAACTCTCTAATAAAGAAAAAATAATTAATAATTTAATTTAATTTGATTGGAATCAGGAATTTTCACAGTTTAATGGATTTTTTGAACATCCGACAAGCAGTTTACCAATGATGTGCTAAGTCCCGTTCATTTCACAAATTTAAATTTAAAATTTAAATTTTATTACAGTAAAAAATTATCAAAATAAATTATATTTAACTTTTTTACTATAGTAATAACGAGTGGAGTTTCGGGCGCGTGCGTGGGGTACAGTGAGTAGTATTCTTTTTAGCTGTGGTCAGTTCCAGCAAAGCACAACAGACATCATCTTAAGAAAAGCGGCACGTAAGTAGATAAACTTAAAGAGCAATTTTAAATGACGTAAATACCCACACCTGTCGTTTCAAACGACGTCGTAAGCCAAGGTGAGCTATGATTGATTTGATCATAGGCAGGAAATAAAAATCGGAGAGACTAGAGACTGCATCGGAGTGTGGGTCCTTTTTTGACTCCAGTCATAATCAAACGGTTACGGCTTGCCACGAACCTGCGGCTTACAAAACTGTGCGTTTGTCTCTCACTCATTCATTTTATCAATTTAAATTCAAAATTTAAATTTTATTATAATAAAAAAATTTTAAGAACAGATACATTTAAATTTTTTTATTATAATAAAAAATTCTTATATAAAATTTCATCTCAACTCAAATTAAAAATTCATATCAACAAATTAAATAAGCCGTTTATTAATTATTGTTGACAATGCGGTGGAATAAAATACAATATTTTCCCCTGTTCCAATTAGAGAAAAGGGAGGCACTTTTGTATTGGTTTTATTTACGAAATCTGGTTTGAGAGAAATTGGCGGAAATAACGAAGTAAGATCACGTTTATTTCACTGATTCGAGTTTAGAATTCGAGTTTTGCTACAGTAAAAAGTTCTCACATAAAATCACATCTCAACTCGAATTAAAAACTCAAATCAGCGAACTAAATGGGTCTTAAAAAAGTGAAAACAATTCCTTATATTTTTAGACAAGAAAGAATAAAAATTAATTTTATTTAACAAATATGAAAATAATATTTAAATTTTTGAAAAAGGAATAAAAAAATATTCATAAATTTATATTAAACTTAAGATATAAATTTTGAAGTTTGATTGAATTTTTTTAGAGAACTAAACATTTTTATAAAAGTCATGATAAATAAATTTTGAATCCAAAAAATAAAATATAACCTTCAATAAGCAGTGTAAAACAAGATAAAAGACGAGCAAGAAGAAAAAAAGAGATGACGTACAAGTTTAATGGATTTTTTCGTAGAAGACATATTGTTTAATCATTAAAGTATTTGAAAATGTAACGTCGAATTTGGCGCATATTTCGTTGGGCACATGAGAGATCATGCCCATCATTGCTTTCAAACACCTAATTGGCACTCATCGTCCATCTTAGCCGCCTATACGCAATCGGGTTTTGCTCAAAATGGGACCCATCCTAAAACAGCTGTTATCCTTCTGGTATTTTATGATGTGGTAGAGCTCGGAAGAGAACAAAAAACAAGGTTGGGTTTGGACGTTTCGTTCAAATGGAATGGATGGTCCCGTTTATTTCACTAACTTGAGTTTAAAATTTAAGTTTTGATATAATAAAAAATTTTAAAAAATAATTACATTTAATTTTTTTATTACTGTAAAAAATTCTCATATAAAATTACATCTCAATTCAAATTAAAAACTCAAATTAATAAATTAAACGGACCCTACATGTCAAATTATTCTCTTTTATGGAGAAAAAAACAGAATTAGAAGAGCTACGGAAAAAAAAGGAATTCTTGAATACATTTTGACTTGTAATTTACATATTTTGGATTGAACCCGAACCATGATATGATTTTGGATTCCATCTCTTTTCTATTTTAGTGCATTTATTGCCCAAATGTAATCCAACTTACTTTCTTTTACAAAAGTGTCGGTGAAAGCTTTCGAGTACTCTGATACCAGGCAAGTTCAATTCAAAAGGTGAAACAAAAAAACGTCATCGATGATAAGACATTACTTCGGCTTAAAATTATATTTAATTTATATATTTAAAATTATAATTTAAAATTATTTTTATTTTATGTGTAATTTTTATAAAAAAAATATTATAAATAATTATAAATTATGAATGAATATAATAAATAAACGTCGTCTTAATGGGTCTGCGTGGTTGGGCAAATAACCAGAGGGAAGATGGTTAGGTGGACGAGTGCATGTGATTGGCTACAGGCCGGTCCCACCTAAGCCTCAATGGACGGTGTGATTCTTCTCTGGCCCATTTACGTTCAACAGCACTCTTTTTATTATTATGATTTTTTTTTTTTTTGTGTGTGTGTGCATGTGTGTGGGGCTGAAGTAGTTTCAACGTGACACTTGTATCACAGCTGAGATCTTACCGGATTTGGGCCAAACAATGTCTTGAGATGGCCGACTCATTGTGATAAATTTCGGTTTGTTTTGGCGGAAAAGACGTCACTTTGGGTGGGTACTACTAATGCCTCGTTCACTTCGCGGATTTGAGTTTTCAATTCGAGTTGAGATGTGACACTTTCTGAGAGCTTTTTACTGTAGCAGAAAAATTTGATGTGATATTTTCTGAGAGCTTTTTACTGTAGAAACCTAAAACTGAAAACTCGAATCGGTGAAATGAACGAGGCCTTAACATCACAATTCAAACATTTTTTATTGTAGTTTGTGCCCGGTGCCTCACAGGACTATGCTTCGTCAGGGTTGAATAGAAATCTTTTAAGCATTGTATAATTTTTTAATTTAAATTAAAATGTGATTTTATAATTAAATGTGATTATTTTTTAAAATTTTTTTACTGTAATAAAATTTAAATTAGTGGAATGAACTGGACTTCAATTTATGTTTTGCTTTAACGGAAAAGTTATCACCTTAGCCTTAGGTGGGTTAAGAAAGATTTTTATTGGATGTACCTTCTCTTTTTAATATATGTTTTTATCTTGTAACAGATTACTGATAAAAATGCATTTATATGCTACTCAAGAAAAGAAAGATTGACTTGACTGAAAAAACGACATGATATGTTGACGAGTGAAGACGAGAAATATGAAAGGCAACGATAAATGGACGAGTGACAATAGGATGGGAAAAAAAAGAAAAAAAAAAAACGGAATAAGAAGAATGAAAAAGATCCAACTATCAATAATTAAAAGAAATAAAGAATACAGAAATTGATCACAAATAAAAACAACAGAACACGATGACGAGTAGACATTTCTAGACAACAAAGGAATAAGCCGATTTACATTGAAACGACTTGAATGGAGAAAATGATAGAAAAGCCACAAAAAAGAAAAAAAAAAACGACAATTAATTGAATAAAGAACCACGTAAGTAGTAAAACAGAAAAGCCACAAAAAAGAAAAAAAAAAAAACGACAATTAATTGAATAAAGAACCACGTAAGTAGTAAAAAAGAGAGCGCGACAGGGAATATATGAGAATGAAAAAGTACGGATAAACGACCACCAGCACTAGAGCGACAAAGAAAGAACTACAATTAACTTAGTACGATAAGGCAAAAACGACATCAAAAGAGAACGACAAAAGAAACTCAAGTTGATTGTCGTTGTTATAGTTACCCTGTCGCTGCCAGTGCCAGAGAACCCTCTCTAAGCTCGCCACATCTCAGGATTTCTTTTTTTTGTTTTTGTTTTTTCAAGTTGCCTTTTATTTGTTTTTCTATGTACCGTAACGATTCGGGAGAAAATTCAAAAAGTATCCGTTTAAAATACAATTTTTATTCTTGAGTTTTTTAAAATTTAAAAAGTATTCCCTGTGTTTCTTAACCCACACAAAAAGTATTAATTCTTTTAATTTTTTAGGTTTAAATTTTTTAAAATAACCAAACTGTCCTTGAATATTCTATATATTGTCCAATGATAAAAATGAGTTACCAAATGAAATATACAAACTCCAAGGTTTATGCTGCACTGGTTGTAGTTTATAGATGTTTATACAAGTGACAAAAATTATCTTAGAAAGCAAACATAGATTAACAATTACAAACAAAAAGAGGAGCAAGAATCAACTGTCCGGTAAAAACATAGCACAAATGAAGAATGCAAAATTTATCCAAATTTCATCGTTACAATTTATTAGACTTAGTTGACTAGTAAATGTAGCACAATGAAGTGAGATTTGGGTAACAATAATCTATAATTCAGAACTTCCCTTCGGAATAGTCTTTATATTTTCGACTCACCATGAATTTAGTGAGTTCTGAGGAATAGGATCTTCCCATAGCGTCCTTGTAACCTTTCCACCAGTCCATGAAGCTGCTTCCTCCCAAGAATATCTCAGGAGACACTGAATAGTTTTTGAGCAAAACCAGCACATCTTTCTCAAACTTCTTCAACTTCTCATCGCAAGTTTTCTTCTCTTCAACACTTGCTTCTTCTTTCTTCATCAATTTGCATAAATTGATAGCCTCCTCAACTTTTGCCCAAAAGCAAGAATCTTCAGTCAGAATATGAGCAACATTCTTTCTTTTCTCAATTGAAATGCTCTTATTGGTCTTCTTCGCTGCAGCGGACAATTGCTCCAAGCGGGTTAAGTGTTCAAGCCTTCCGTGACTTTTATAGTCCGGAGGACTATTCTCATGGTAGTAATCGGCTATGTAAAGTGGCTCAACCATCTTCATATAGGTTATACCAGCGAAAAGCCATCGAGTCCGTAGGGAGGCTCCATCTTCCTGAGGCTGCTTGTCTGCTTCTTCAACCACGTCTGTCCAGTAGTTGATCAATCTTTTAACAATCTCCTCAACGTTTATGTCACTCATAAAGCTCTTGTTTTTGTAGCTGTCATAGTATCCAATTCCCTTATCCTTGGAGGTCTTCTTGTACCATTCGAGTTTCGCCATATTTATTTTGGACTCGTTCAACTTCTTGTCAGGATTAACTTTCCTTTTTCCCATTAGGAACTTCATTTCCTGTTTCTCTATCCATTCAACCAGTGGGTTTATGTCTTCATTCAGGTTATACTGCTGTGGAGTCACAGAATTCAATTGAGAATAACTTGTTTCATTACCAGAAAGGAGATTAACAATAATTTAATAATAATAACAATAAAAAGAGTAGATAGGACTTGCCTCTATTGCTGAGAGTTGTGTAACAATGCCTGCTGCATACGGACTACTAGCCCAGTCGGCGTCCAATACATTCTTGAATAAGGCCTTGCGTTTAAGAGTTTCCAAAATGTTTCCATAATCACCTCCTTGATCGGAACCTTCTGAGGCAGTTGTCCCCAACAATTTAAGAATGGTATCGGGCTCCTCAAAACAAGAACAGCCCAAATTGGAACACAGGAGGAATGTCCCAAATGGCTTGTAGTCATTAGCATTATGGTTTATGAGCTTCCTAGGTACTGGATCTTGTTTTGAGACCACATGAAGGAAGCAAGAGTTCCAAGGAGAGAATAGAAACAGGGTCTTTTGCAGGTTGCTGTCACCGATAAGGGGTGAACCAAATGTGACACAAATTGGGCGTTTGGTGTTTGAGAAGTTGACGCTTTCCAGGAGCCATAACGTGAAGAGCGAAGCAATTGAGCCTCCGTGAGAGTGTCCAGTGACAATTATTGGGTATGAATAGTTTATCTGCATTTAATTTGTAAAGTATAAGAAGTTAGGTTCAAATTAGTCCTAATCCGTTAAGCCAAAAAAAAAAAAAAAAGGCCCCTAATCTGTGCAAAAGGAACTATGAACAGTGAACTAGTCACGTTCCAAGTCTCACGGGCATTTTTGGAGGTAAAAGAATCATCATACGTATGAGTACTCATTAGGAAGATATTATGGAAAAGTAACAATCCAATAATTTGACAAATGCAAAGGAACTGTCGTAATCAAAATCTTAGGGTGCATTTAGAATTGGTTTCAAAATGTTTTTATTTTTTATATGAAAATGAAAACGAAAACGTTTTTATTTTCATTTTGAAATTATTTCTGAAAATGCGTTTGGTAGTTTTATTTTGAAATTGTTTTCAGTTTTAAAAAAAACTAAAATTGTGTTTGATAGTTTAATTTTTAAAAACATGTAATAATATTTAAACTAATAATATATTAAATAAACATATCAACCCATTTCCTTACCTCATCAATCAACCCAAAAACGGGGCCTAAAACAAGAAAAAAAAAAAACCCATTTCTAGATGAGGAGGGGGTGGTTAGGGGCAGTGAGGTCGAGGCGGGAGAGGGCAGTCGGAGACGAGTGGGGGGATGGGGGCATAGTCGGAGAAGACTGTGGGGGGAGGCAGAGGAATTTGAGTTGATTTTTTGATTGAGATTCGATTACAGCTTAGAATTGGAAGAAGAAGAAGAAGAGCAAAATGAAAATGAAAATGGAAAACTAAAAACGATTTTCAATCGTTTTCAATTTTGTTGAGTTTTTAAGAATAAAGTAAAAAATGTTTTCATTTTCTGTTTTTCAAGAAATGCTGCCAAACGACTTCCTCAGAATATTTTCAGTTTTTAATTCTTAGAAAATGTGAAAAATAGAACCAAACAGGCCCTTGGTTTTTTTTGCTTTTGAAAATGAAAAAGAGTGGTGGGATTTTCTTAAAAACATCTTTATTAGATCGCCCAATCATTTCAATTATTTTTCGTAGTAACAGTAAAACCAATACTAGCAATCAAAAGAAAAATAATTGGTCAACCACATAGTTCTGTAAAGTCAACATTTCCGCAAAATCATATTCTTCATCAGGCAATCTGAGCTAGCTATTTGCAATCACAATTCACAATTCCTACTCCGATCAACAAAACAAAAAGATTTTGAAATTTCAAGAGGAGAAACAAGAAGCACCTCATTTTTCAGCTGAGAAAGCTGGTGTCGGTGGCGGTCAAAGAGGGTAATGGCAGCTCTGTCAACGGCGAAATCGGCCTTTCGGCGTAGAAATCCAAAAAGAGCGAAACTTTCCGCGGCAATCGACGACGAAGACGGGACCAAATCAGCACCTTCTTGAAGAAGCTGGTGTGTGGCAAAATCGGGCTTAGTAACAAATGTAATCACAGTGAATTTCTTTTGGTGGTCGTAGCGCAAATTGAATCTGAGACTCGAAGATGAGTGATCATGAGCATTATTGAAGTCCTTGTAAAGCTCTGAGATATCGTTCCATAACAATAGCAGTATATTACTGTTGATCAGCAGATTTGCTTGTTCCAACCCAGTGCTGAAACTGCAATATCACCAAACTTTGAAAAATCGCCACCAAAAAAAAAAAAAAAAAAAAAAAAAGACAAGAAAAGGGGGGAAAAAAAAGAAGCTAGAAAATTCTACTCACAGCTTCATCTTCTTTGGGATGGAGGAGAGAGAGCAGAAGGAGAAACGCGTGTGTATGTGTGTAAATATATATATATATATATAAAATAAAATATCTTGAGAAGTTATTGGCCCATTAATGGAAGATGAAACTGAAAAAAAGAAGCTAGAAAATTCTACTCACAGCTTCATCTTCTTTGGGATGGAGGAGAGAGAGCAGAAGGAGAAACGCGTGTGTGTGTGTGTAAATATATATATATATATATAAAATAAAATATCTTGAGAAGTTATTGGCCCATTAATGGAAGATGAAACTGAAAACTTATTTAAGAAATGGAGATAGGACCCAATGGAAGTCAACGTGAAACATGTTGTCGTCTAAATCCGTGTTATTCCTTGGATGCTTCTTCGTCGTCTTCTTCTTCTTCTTCATTTAGCTTCTCTCCAAAGTAAGAGGGAGGAAATTTCCTCTCTCTCTCTCTCTCTCTCCCTTTCTTCTAGAAATATTCCTTCTTGTGCTTCACCTGCAAACGTAATAAGAATCATTCGAACTTTTTCATCGACGTCGTGTGGACTCAATTAAACTTCTGTGTAAAAGTGATTGATAATTCTTTACCTAACTCTTACGCCCTTGTGATTAGCTCTACTTAGTGCCACGTGTACAGTGTTTATTGGACCCCTCTCTCTCTCTCTCTGCTGCCTCTTCATTTTCTGGTAAGATTTCCATTTTAGACAGAGAATGACAACGGAAACTCGTCCGCAATTGCGTTTTTTAAATGAATTTAAAAAAAAAAAAAAAAACGGCCGTTTTACATACGCTGCTGAACTAGTAACAATATTTGAACCCTTTTTCACTTTTCTTTGTTTACAAGTAGAGTTCCTAATAACAGATTTATATTTTATAAGAAACAAAGAAAACAAAAAAATAATAATAAATAAATAAAATCCTAAGAACAAAACTAGGAAAACGACACAAAGGGAACAGACATGGAAGAATTCGCACGGAGACGGAGATCCTCTCAAGTAGGGTGAGGATGGAGGACAATCATTCGAGATAGGGGCATGTATGGAGATAGAATTTTGTCCCTGAAATATGGCAGGGGAAGGAGAAGCACACTCCTGCCCCGCCTCCCCACGATATACATATATTATAAATTTTACACACATAAATATTATATAATATTAATGACCCGTTTAGTTCGTTAATTTGAATTGAGATGTGACTTTATATGAGAATTTTTTACTGTAATAAAAAAATTAAATGTTATTTTTTCTAAAAGTTTTTTAATGTAATAAAACTCGAATTCTAAACTCAAATCGGTGAAATGAACGAGGGGCCTAAATATTCAAAAATAATTAGTCGTTTTGCTCATGTTCAGACTTTGAGTTCTTTTAGAGAACCTAATTTGATTTTGGTTTAAATTTATATGTAACTTTTGTTTTAAACTTGTAATAAGTTACCATAATTTTCTTACCGTTGAATGATTTCAAGCGAATACTTGTATTACTTAAATCACGAAACTACATATATATATATATATATATATATATATATGTCTCTATCTATATGAGTCAACTTGTCAAAACTCAGAGACATCTGCATTTAATTGGTGACTAAAAACCGTTCAATGGAATAACTTGAAAAGAAAAGAAGTCGCTTCATTAGTCGCTATTACTCACCATTGGCTCTAAATAATACATCTCAAATCAGACGTCACAAAATGATTTGATGTACGTTCTGAACTCGTTTCTGTAAATAACAATAACTGTAAATAATTGATAATGGTCTGCTTGTATTGATAACTTGTAAACTCTTCATGAAAACCAAAATTTCAGTTGTAGTCGTACAATGAATGGGAGAAACCGGGGGAAAAAAAATCCCATTGGTCAGAAGCTAATCCTATGTGGGCAACAAGCACTTCTACAAAATTCCAGCAACAAAAAGCACTTCTCCAAACAAAGGAGAGGAAGAATCAGAAGCTGCTCTTAGAAGAGGAACACAAGCGCTTCCATGAAGACCGTTAATGCTTACTATTTCTTCAGGGAATCGGTAGATTTTGGTGCTAAATTACCGCTATTCAGCTGCGGATTCTTACATTGCTTTCTGAGAGGACGGTTTCAGTGAACTAATTTGGATATCTTTTGTGTATATGTTGGTGAGGGCAAAAAGCAAGAGCACAAACACAACTTGAGCGCTCACGATTCCAAAATGGCTGATGCTGTTGCCAATTTCCATCCAACTTCCTGTATTTCGTACCTGATATCAATTGAAAAAAAGGGTTGGTAAGACTACTAAAGGCATGTGACAATATGAAAGAATTTCATCTCTAGAATATAATAGGGATGTACCAGGAAGAAGAAATGGATAGTCATAATATCTGAAAATAATATGACGAGAAAATAACATCCCAGTCGTGGAAGTCGGTTCATCTTTGTTATTGCACTGAATACGCATCTGCATTGGAGTCCAAAAGCAAGTAAATATGAAACATTGGTTTTGTGTGTAAAAGAAAAAAGATGGGCAATGTTAAGTTAAACTATGCTTACATGACAAGCATGAATGGAATGAATAGCTTGAAGATAAGTAAGGCTGCCATCAGGAACGGCTGCAACTCAGACGCGGATATATCAGAGCAAAAACAGATGTTAAGGAAAAGAAAAATGGCAAAAAAAAAAGGAAGGAATTTCAACCTTTACTTACACTGAAGATGGTAATGAATCGATAAACGGATGAAATCTCAAAACTTGCAATACTTGCAAAATTTCCCGTTCCGAAGAAGGCGACATTAAATAAAACCATCTAAAATCACAAGAGAAGTGAAAGAAACAGAAAAACTTTGATGTTATAATCGTGTAGAATAAAAATGCTGAGGATCTAAATTGGCTTGGTTTAAATGAACTATTTAGGCCACCATCAAAATAAAGCTAGGTAAGTGAAACCGAAGAAAATATATTACTTACAAAAACTAACGGAATCCTCACGTCAGACAACTGCAAGTATCTATCATTGGCTTCCAGAATATTACCCTCCAAATTTTTGAAGGAAGCTGATGATCTTTTCACCTTACTCGTGTAAATAATTGTGTTTTCAAATAGTATCCATGCCATAAGTACAAGAGCGAGAGCACCATAAAAGACAGCTTCATATCTGCATGGGTTTGACTTTCGAGTAAAATGGATTTGAAAAAAAAAAAAAAAATCCCATCTTTACATGAAACTATTAAATGTATACTTCCAAATCCGTAGCATATGAAAAACACATACCCGATGGATAACAGAAGGAAAGGGGGTGCAAAACCGAGGAATATAGAAGTAAGCCGGGATAAGAGACTATTTTCCGAAAACAAAGGGAGAACCATTGAGAAACCTATGACACCATAATATAGACAGACAAGTAAGTTCAGTCCTAAATGACGCACAATTTTTGTTTTTTTTAAGATGTAATGCTGAAAAAGCTTCTGCAACTAAACAAAACAAATAAACAGTGTAGACTTTCGGAAGTTTACCAGCAATGGACCAATTAATGAACTGGTGTAGTGGAAGCAGTTCTTGTTTTTGTGTCCTATGAGACGTTGATAACGGCACCATGACAGATGATAAACCAACCAAAAGCACCTGAACGAAAAAAGAATTTCCATTAGAATTCGTTAATGCAAATGGTTGAGCTTCTCATGCCAAGAGATGATAAGGTAACTTTTCTACCTGTAAATGAAAAAGCATGGGAAACTTTGGTTTCTTGATCTCATGATTACAGAGACTAAGCCAATATTTATTTCCTTCAGCATGGAGATCAAGCCACCTTGCTGCAATTCCTATAATGATGATCATGGCTCCACTCCCGATTCTAAAAACAAGAATGTAACAAAAAAACATCACCAAAACAACGTCGCATGATTAAATTACAAGTTTCTTCTTTTCAGAATGATTTAAACTGCTTACTAGATTGCAGATTTTAGTTTTTTTATCTGTATCTACAGATATGCTCTCCTCCCTTCAGAAATTTGCACATACCCCCCTCCCAAATACACACACCAAAAAAGAAAGGGAAAATGTGACTTACACTAAATAAGTATTATCTGGAATTTCTGCTGGCATTAGGGTAAAGATAGATAAGAACCAACACACGACACAAACAAATATTGGTATCCCAGATCGCCATGGAATTGACTTAAATACATAAACTGAAGCAACAACTCCCGCAACCAGGAAATACCAAGAATAGAGTTTCCTCTCTGTGAAGCTATTGACCTGCAAAAGTTGCAAGATCATATGGTTTAGAATTCATACTAGCACTTTACCTTTGACATAGTGCAGGATAATTCATTGTATGTTTGATTCCAATACCAGAAATTCAGAAATGAATACTGACACAGCACAGGTGGCTAGAATTTTGGCCATGTAATAAATTCTTCTTCCATGTAACTGCTTCCACAATGCTTTTATAAACCGGTATTCACTAAATATTTGTGTCCATGAAAACACCGTCATTGCAGTGTAGGCATGGTAAAGAGGAGGAGAACGTTCAAGAAGCAGAAGAATACTAATTACCGCCATCAAAAGGCATCCACATACTTGAACCTGCCATAAAGAGTATTTGAGACGTGTAATTTCATAGTTACATAAGAAATAGCAAACTTGAATTACTTGGAGAGTTACTTTTCTGGTATCTTGTGTTTGGTAAGCTGTTTGTTCCTTTCTAAAGAGATCACCTGGCAATGAAGTATAAGATTGCAGCACGTAAAGAAAAAGATAGATCATCCAACCAAGATATCCAAGGCCAATGACACTCATAAGCATCAGCCAATCGTATGTTTGAAAATAATGGAGTCCTTGCAGTGCCAAGCTTCGGAGATCTTCGGCTAGCTTCGTTGCTGCTTCATAGTTTCTGCCAGATATGAGTTCCTCAATTTGGTCCAAGACTGAGGAATAGTGGGCCAGGGGTTTGAAAGGCTTGAAACTTAATGAATTAGCCTGTTTTATTTCTAAGTTTGTTAAGAAACCATATATACTATTTATCCATTTCCCGCTCCTTCCACAAAGGCTTTACAAAAAAGATTCCTTGCTATAACTGAAATACTAAGAAAAGGAAAAAAAAAAAAAAAAAAAAAAAAAGCATTAAAAAAAGGAAACGTGACTTCCGAAGGCTTTACAAAAAAGATTCCTTGCTATAACTGAAATACTAAGAAAAGGAAAAAAAAAAAAAAAAAAAAAAGCATTAACAAAAGGATACGTGACTTCCGAAGAAACTGGTTCAGAATTTGCTTCGTATTAGCTAGAACAGCTTCAACCTCTGCTGCCTGAACATTAAAATAAATGAAGAACCGTCGGTTTCTGCTTTATGCTGGACTAATTAGTCCCAAAAAAAAAAGCATAAAAAATTCATTTTTTCCATGGAAATAATGAAAGGTAATCTGTCACATCTTCATTCTGAGTTGGACATTGAGCTAAAAAAATTACAATTCTGCAGACAGAAAGATCCAAAATCAAACATTTTTTGCCCTATGCAGATGAAAAAAGTCTCAACGAGCACTAGATATGGGACTATACCTCATTTATGTTGATGTAGTCAAGAGGCAAACTTCCAACCGAGTTGACAGGACATGGCAAACCTAGAAGAGTTGACTGCCAGAACAGTTGATGAACATGTGTCAGCTTCTAGAATCTTCAAGATAAAATAAATATTCTTATGAAATCAAAGTGTACAACCATGAGCGGTGCAATATCAGCTTGATTGACATCCACCCTTTCAATGTCATGAAGGCCCCATTCTGCGGGCGTTGGTGTGTCATGCATATGTTCATCAACAAAACGAAAACCACAGTCAGAATGGTTGCTGCTAGAAACTGGCCTCGGATATTTAACACCAGCACCCCAAACAACAAGGGGAGTGTCAGTGTTTGATGGATGCCCGTCACCATGGCTACCTATCAGTAAAACCATAATTGTGTAAAAATCTGGTATATAACCTGAAAGGTCATGTTGACATATTCATATTCCAGGACAAAGACCAATGTTTCAAATTCAGTACCAGCCATCACTTTTAGGAAGTGGCTGAGGCTTGGGACTTGGGAAAAGCTTTAACTGCTAATAACATGTTTTAAGCACCATTCATTTGCTTGTTTGAACTTTGAACAAGCATTCCTCGAAGGAATTAACTAGGCATAGTTGTGACAGATAAAGGCTAAATAACCAAAGACGAAGAGTAAAGGATTGAATTCCAACCATTTATCTGGTCAAAGATTATGATTATTAAATTATACATTGAATGCTTTTTGGAAAATTGGTCATTTATATAAACCCAGGAACAACTGACACTAATTTATCTGATTAATGCAAGCTTTGGACAGTATACAACGATCAAACAAATTAATTCAGTGAATGAAGTGAGAAGATAACACCCCAACTATAAGGCAATCAAGTCTAGTCTCACCTTTGTCACTCATCCCATGATCAGCAGTGAATATGTACGCTGTACGATTGTCCTTGAAATAATCTTCAAGAACGTTGTAAACCCTTACGGCAATATTGTCAACAACCTTAACATTATTGAGATAAATGGAAGAATATGGTCTATGTGCATGACCATTCGAGTCACAACCAAGTAAGTGCAAAAATATAACAAGATTATCCTGTAGAAGCAATTCCTTCAACTTTGGGTCTTCATTGGACCTATTAAAAAGACTCTGAAATTGATGAAAAGACCACTCATCCAGAAAGGAGGCATCTGCATATTAGACTTACATCAATTCAAAACCTTTGTGCTAAAGATAGTTTCTGAGCAAGTAATTATTCAGGAAGGAATCCCTAGTAAATTTTCAGGATTTCAAAGCATGATTGAATCCAAAAAATAAAGAAAGAAAAAACGTATAAAGCATCGAAAATCTTAATAACCCAACTTTAACATGTCATTATCGGTATGGTGACTTTAGAAAAACCTATAATAGGATGCTCCTATCAATCACTTGGAACATGTAATTTCTAACGGAGCTTAAAAGAAAATGCAAAATAGCAGCTTGGAGACAAATGTGTTTAAAGATCGTACAAACCAGTTGCAAAGTCTTCAAATTCATGAGGATATGTTTTCCAGGTGCTGTGTGGCAAGGCCCCACAGAAAATTGGAACTATATCAGGGCTACCAAAAGCAAACGTATGCCGACTTCGATTGAATACTGAATCAAACTCTACCGGGTTCGCTTTCCACCCTGAAAAGACAATGTAGTATCTTTAGCTGACTGAACGGGACGCCACAAAGGTGGCTTAAACAAAGAAAAAACAAGTAAAAATACCTATGAGAATTAATATCTCGAAGGTAGCACAAAAATACAGAAGCATCCACCTTTTGTTACTGCACTGGGATCCTCATAGAAACCCGCGATTATGGCAACATGTCCGGGCCTCGATTCTGTTGGAGGACGAGCATGAGACACTCCCCAGCGACCATGCTCTTTAATCACACTTCTTAAAAATGGCGCTCTGTAGTTTCCCTCCGAATCGGGCTCAAAGAATTTGTCAGCACGCAAACCATCAGCTGCAGAAATTTGAAGCTCTGAACATATCAACTTATTCTTTATCGAAAAAAACTATATTTAGACAAACTATGACTTTTGCAGCTGACAAATAACAAAAACTCCACAACCCATTTCACATTCTAGTACGAGGAATATATCGACACCGACAAAACAACAGAAAAACATTTGACTTTCAGTGAGGCAATATAACAAAGAGGTGGTGTGCGAAGACAGACCAACGAGGAGAACGAGCCGCTTTGCAGGAGCGTGGAAGCGGGGTTTGACGGGATCCATGCCATGAACAATGGGGGTCTTGAAGTAGATATCGAAGATGCTTAGCATATAAACGGCGTGAAGTATCACGCCCAACACCACCAGCCATCTCTCTCGGCTCTTCACCCATTTCCTTGGATTCGATATGCTCGATTTTCTGTTTCCCAAAATCCCGTCGCCACCAGCCATGTCTCCTCTGCTCTTCGTCTTCTATGGTCTTGCTTCGTGGTTACGTTTTCCCGCTCTGGTTTCCGCTGTTAAAGAGGAGAGTAGAATTGGTAATTCGTAATTTGGTCCTCGCCACCTTGAGTTTGGTTGTGCACCGGATCTGGTGAAAAGTCGCCCGGACGTTCCAAAGTTTTTTTTTAATGGAATTTCAAAAACTAGTTTTGATTTATTTCAAAGAAAAAAAATCTCAAAAAATAAAAATAAAAATAAAAAATGAGTAATTTGCAATGTTGGTCTATAACAAACTTTTCAATTTTTTTGCTAATCCTATAATAAATTTTTTTAACAAGTGACATTAATTAGTTGTTGTTCTTTTAATCAAATTTTATTAATTTTTGGTCCGCAGCAATAGCGACGTCGGAGAAAGAAATGAGAGAGGTGGCAGAATGTTAGAGAGAGAATATACAGAGTTGAGAGTCAAAAGAATCTGATAAAAACCCTATAAGGATAAATTTGGAAATTACTGATTTTTTTAATTATGAATAATGAAGATATGCCATAATTTATTAAGCTTTTAAATTTTTAAAATCATGTTATTTACTTTAAACATAGATAGAAAGTATGGCATAGAGTGTATTGTCCTTTTTTTTTCCCCTTAGTTGGACCACTACAACTATTTTGCTTTCAACGGAGAAATTCTTATTTTAGAGTGTGTTTAGTTCGTTGATTTAAGTTTTTTATTCGAGTTCAAATGTGATTTTATGTAATAATTTTTTACTGTAGTAAAAAAAAAGTTAAATGTGACTGTTTCTAAGAGCTTTTTACTGTAACAAACTCGAATCGGTGAAATAAACGGAGCCTTAAATTATCTTTTTACTTACAATTGCGTTGTTTTGCCTTTTCATTTCTAAATTTGATAAATTTTCTCTCTTGCTCTGAACTGAGATGCTTTCAACGCATAAGGTATTGTTTAGCAGCTCGCGTAATCTGTATGCGGCTAGTGGAAACTAAGAAGTTATGACCGTGTTTGGAATTGATCCGTTTTTATTTTTCATGTTTTTTGAGAAAGAAAAAATAAAAACGTTTTTAAAACGGCGTTTGACACAATAAAAATAAAAAACATGAATGAAAACGATTTTTTGATTTAGTGTGAAATAAGAGAGAAATGAAAAATGACTTTTAATCATTTTTTATTTTTTATTTTCATTTTCTCCTCTCTTGAGTGGAGAGAGACATTAATGAGTTTTTTTATACTGAAAATAATCTCTTAATAAAACTATTAAACGCATTTTTAAAACTAATTCTTATTTGAGATTAAAAATATTTTTATTTTTATTTTCATATAAAAAATAAAATTATTTTAAAACGAATTTCAAACACGCTGGTGTATCTCCCGAGCAATGGTTTCATATTCTCAAAACAAATTATATAAAACATCCCATCATTTTTATTAGTACAAAAATAAAAGTAACAACGTGCGATATTAAACACTAAGACTTCGTTCATTTCATCAATTTAAGTTTTTAATTTTAAATTTTTATAATAAAAAATTCTTAAAAAATGTCACATTAAAATTTTTTGTTACAGTAAAAAGTTTTCAAAAAATATCACATTTTAACTCGAATTAAAAACTCAAATTTGTGAAGTGAACGATGCCTAATAAAATGCTTTCACAAACTTCTAACAAGTACACGACAAATAACACATGATTTTGAAAGCAAAATGCTCTAAAAGAACATCATGATTAACACACATATATATGCACACATAGTACAGGCAAATGGGAACCTCTTTAAGCAAAACCAGAGTTATTACAGCAACGCTTGTAATATATATAGCCAATCAGCTTTTGACTGAAAGCGTGTGAGAATAGTACGACTTGGCGCATCATTTGGGGTTGGTGGTGTTTCAACGTCTTGTCCAGAAACAGCCAAGATGAAGCTAACAAACAAAATAACAAATATGGAATTAGCCCTTTTGAAAGGCATCTTAAAATCTGATAAGTAAGTTTGATATATAAAATTTGCAATATCTGATATCCGGGTATAATGTATGTCACCTTTTATAGGGGCATTCCAATTTCCCACATAAATGTAGAAAAATCAGAATTGCCTAGCTCTCTTCTTAGCTATAATAAGGCAAAACCTATGAACTTTTCTTGTCTTTTTGGATAATCGTAATGCATACCGAATAACGCGGAGATGATGAAGTGTAAGATGTGGTATTTGTTTTGTTTGTTTTTGCTGACAATTGAAAAGCCATGCATAACTTGCTATATTTCGGCCTCGTTCACTTCGCTGATTCGAGTTGAGATGTGATTTTATGTGAAAATTTTTTACTGTAGCAAAAAAGTTAGATGTGATTGTTTGTGAGAGCTTTTTACTGTAGAAAAACTCGAATTCTAAACTCGAATCAGCAAAATGAACGGGGTTAATTCATTCCTAGATTTTAGTGATGCTGATTTTTAAGCAGTCTACCTGCGAAACTGCTTGTTCATGTGATGAATTTTTTATGTTCATTTTTTTTTTTTTTTTTTTTTTGCCGAGGAACAATGTTGGAAATATCTAGTAGGAGCTTTTGCCCATGAGAAAAAGATCCCATACCATATTGGAGGAGACAAAATTTCACTTGGCTGAATTAGTTTTAGCTTTTGTTACTTAAATGTCTTCAAATACGTAGACCCACTACATGACACCAAAACACACACAAAAAAAAAAAAAAAAAGATTTTTAGGACATAAAAAGAGAGGGTAAAAAAATATATATACATGGTTAGAACATAAAAAGAGAGGATAAAAAAAATATACTTTACTAGTACTGCGTAGTTGTGATTTTCCTACCAAATATCAAAATGTAATGGCACATGAATTTGACACTGCAATGACGCTGGGACACCTCTAGCATAATGAATGCCAATAATATTGAAAACTGCTTATGTACGTTTGGAGGATATTTTCTCTGGCATAATCAATGCCTTAAATTCCCCCCCAAAAGCAGACACTCAATTGGTGAACCTTTGGATCACGGGTCATCGTCATGCCACGTGGACCTTTTTATTGAAAAACACACAATTTCTAAGCAGCTTATCCCTCTTCAGAGTCATTTAAAACACATAATTTGATCATCAGAGAGAAAAAAAAAAAAAGAAACACATAATTTTATTGATGGTGAATTGCAAGCAGAACTGTTTGTTTTTATTCGCTACCATGGAATTGCACGTTTAAGAAGACACTCTTGTGAAGGATGATACATCTCAAAAGCAGACAAATTTCGAAAGTTTTTTTTTTTTGTTTTTTTTTTTTTAAAGAAAAAAATTATACATATGATCAACACATGAGAGAAGAACTACACCAAGAACTATTACTATTATTCTTACATAATGATCCCATAATAACATAACCGCAGGGAAGTAGTAGAAAGTCAAGGGAGCAAAAACCACCATCGTTTTTCTCCTCATTTTCTCATGGTTTAAACATCACAGATCTTCTTAATCTAATCAAAACAAAATCAAGGGCACTTGTATTGGTTGCGGCGGGTTCTCATCTCAGAATAGCACTTGCCACATTTTTCCCTGTTGCCGTACGTGCCTGGTGGAACACACTTGCATCTATCGCAGCACGTCACGCATGCCCTTTTGCATACATTTGGCCTCGAGTGTAATGCGCACCTTGCGTCACATAATGGTATGCAATCTGCCACCCCCACCAAAAATAAAAAATTAAAAATTCAGTCCTATTTGGGAAAAAGGTCATCGCTATTGTATGTATAATCCATAAATGTGATCAGTCATGACATTTTTCACGAGGCTAGGAAGATCACATGCATGTGTCATGATCTAATAATATCTTGACAACTCTCGTAGTAATAGCTCTAGTAGTTTCAAATATTGGTTTTTATGTGTCAAATTCTTATTCCCCTCAAGATGTGTCAAATTCTAACATCTTAATGCTATGACAATAATGTGGGAGGCCAGTCAATAAGACAGGAAATTCGGAACAGCAGATTCAGATTCATTGTTTACCTTTTCTGGACTTAACTGGAGGCAATGGTGGAGACACAGGAGCTGGAGGTTTAACCACAGGTGTTGGAGGTGGTTTGACCACAGGTGTTGGAGGTGGTTTGACCACTGGAGTTGCTGGTGGTTTGACCACTGGAGTTGGTGTTGCTGGCGGTTTGACCACTGGAGTTGGTGTTGCTGGTGGTTTGACCACTGGAGTTGCTGGCGGTTTGACCACAGGTATTGGAGGCGGTTTGACCACTGGAGTTGCTGGCGGTTTGACCACTGGAGTTGCTGGCGGTTTGACCACTGGAGTTGCCGGCGGTTTGACCACTGGAGTTGCCGGTGGTTTGACCACTGGAGTTGCCGGTGGTTTGATCACTGGTGTTGGTGGTGGTGTGACCACAGGAGCTGGTGGTTTGACCACTGGAGTTGGTGGTTTGACTAATGGAGCTGAAGGAGGAGGAGCAGATGCCTTAGGAGGATATGTTGTTGATGGTGCTGTGTTGTCGGCATAAGCAACCTCCTAAATATCAAAGTGGTCAAAAACTTTCAAAGTTAGATTTCGCCAATCAGTTTGACAACGCTAACACCAGAGAGGACTTTGTTGTACTTCGAAAAAAGCAGTATTATGGGACAAAGACAATTAATGTAACTTAAGCTGCTGTTTTATATAAGTTAAGTGTGACCCATGAAGTGAAAAAGAGTTGGGAACCTTTCTTATGTTTATAATCATCAAATGAAACTTAACTTGAAAAGGGTATTTTTAACTTACCATTTACAAAGCCACCTAGCTACTAAGAAGGAACAAAGAAATACACAAAAAAAAAAAAAAAAGTGATTTACTTTTCTTCCTAGTGTGTGGGAGGACTTGAGACTTGAGAGTGAAAAAGATCTAAAGAGTGAAGAAATTTCGTACCTTTGTGGTTACTAGGAAGGTAGTAGCCAATAGAAGGAGCACAGCAACAGCTCTGGAAGCCATTGGGGATAAGGAAACTAGAACAAATCTCTCAGATGATTCTAGCAAAAGCAGAGTGGCTGTATAAATAGTGTGAGAAAGAATGATCAGTGAAGAGAGAGAAAGATGGAGAGAGAACTAGTAGGTGGTGGCAGTCTGGTTAAAGTAAAAGAATTGTGCATGCCAGCTTCTTCACCGAGACATAAAGTGTGGCTCGCTGACCAATATCTGACTAAGTAGTTCTACCCACGTGGCCCAAGTACTGTGTCTGCTAAACTATATTATCTATTCTTCTTCTGCTTCTCACCTCTAACTCTAACATCATGTCGTTCACACTTCACACGAGGTCTGTCTTCCAAACTTGCAAGCAAAGCAATTCTTCGCTTGCTACTTTCTGGCTCTTGTTTTTGCAACTCTCCTGGTTTAGCAGCTTCATTTTATATTAAAATATGGGACAATTAAAGTCAGCGGTGCTAGTCCTGCCCAGGAAACATGGACATGTGCTATTTATTAGCATATTAACATCACCCAATTGAAAGAAAAGGTTTCTTGGTATTTATTAGCTAAGCAACAGATTTAATATTGCAACGCAAAGGTTTTCTTTTTCTTTAAAAAAAAAAAAAAAAAGAAATAGAAATAGTACTGAGGTACTAAATATATCAATGACTAGCACAAGTGCAAAATCTAGACCGTTTATTATTGTGATCTACGCCGATCCCACAATCAAGTCTACACGAAAGAACAATCGAGATCTTGCATTTTACACTACTTGTGAGTGCATTTTAGCATTTCGCTTGAAAACACATGGCAGTAAAAAGGTCTCTGGTAGTAAAAGGAGGGTTTTTTTTTTTCTAACTATGAAGGCTTTAGTTATGAAGTAGCTTGAAACATTGCCTAGTTGAGACTGAAAACTTCATTTTACTAGGATTAATGAGGGATGAAATCCACTGTGTAGTCAATGCCAAGATTATTCCCCCGCAAGGAAACAAAAGATTTGAGTCGGTGAATCTTGGACCACACGTCACTCTCACCAAGCAATGTGGACTTTTGTTGAAACAACAAATAATTTTGTGATATCGGATTGACCCTCTTCAGGACCATTAAAGAGCATGACACAGTTGGTGTGTAAATATTATATGTGTAGGCAGAGGTAGGTAACGCTAGATTACAGCTTGCTGAATTGTCTTGGCCAATCACAATATAAAAAATCCATAAGCAATTTGACGGTGCCTTGGTTTCCTTTCTCTCACTCTCAAGCACCAGTGCACGTGACATATCACATGTCGTGCCATGAACTATTAATAAAAATGGAAATCAATGCATTGAGTGAGCTAGAAAGATCCGTGTTGGTGTTTCTCCTAGTGTAGGTAGGTGTTGGACTTGGACCGGTTTATGCAGAACAAACTCCAGAAGCTATGTATATGTATATATTATACATCAACTTGCCAACATTGCAGTGTTATTAACAAAAAAAAATGAAAATTAAGTAGCAGATCCGATAACAAACCATTCCAAAGCAGCCACGGGGAATTTGACGGTGGTAAGATTATTATTTTACACAAGAAAGAGTGAATCCTATCAATAAATTATATATGAGGACAAATTTCGTGAACGATTAATATGCTAGCCTGCTAGGTTAGGGTGCATAACCTTTCTATTCCAAAACAATCGCGAGGAATTTAACAGGATGGCGAAATTGCCCATTTTACTTGACAAGATTTCGAGTTCGGGTGAATCCACCTGTAAATCACATATGTACAAACATAGCGGACGATCTATATGCTACGTGAGGATATCTTTATTAGGTCATTAATTTCTGTGAATAATTATGTGTTGCGGACTGTCATATAAGGTTAAGTCTAATTAAATGTGATATACTAATGCCTCGTTCATTTCACCGATTTGAGTTTTCAGTTTTAAGTTTCTACAGTAAAAAGTTCTCAGAAAATGTCACATCAACTTTTTCTGCTACAGTGAAAAGCTCTCAGAAAATATCACATCTCAGCTCGAATTAAAAACTCGAATCCGCGAAGTGAACGAGGCCTAAGGTTTGAGTATTTTAGACTTTAATGTACCTAATAGGGTGTGGACCTTTAATGTGTAGAGATTTAAGTGTAAATTCTATTTTTATGATGGGTTAAAATATAAATACCAAAAAATAATAAGAAAATTATCTATAAATATAGCGATTATGATTCTGAGATCGCACGTTACATTCTATTCTTTCTGACATTCTATCATTAGAGAGAGTATAGAGAGAAAGTTAAAAGATTCTTTAAAAAAAGTATTAATTTAAAAGATAAACTGTATGACTGTAAAGAAAAATCAGTCAATATAAATTTAGATACGCTTCCGCTTATAAAGTTATTAATTTTTAATGACCCGTTCGGTTCGCTAATTCGAGTTGAGATATGATGTTGTGTGAGAGCGTTTTACTGTAACAAAAAAGTTAGATGTGACTGTTTCTGAGAGCTTTTTACTGTAATAAAACTCAAATCAGTAAAAAAAATGAGATCTTAATATGAATATTTTTGACTTTTGAGCAATGATTTTCACCTTTTAACTATCTTGCCTAACCGTTCCAAAGCAGTTCCTAGTAATTGATGCAAATGGGGTTTGGCCCTTGCTGGAAAAGAAGTTGTTCAAAATTGGCATACAGCAAACTTTTGGGAGGAAACCATTTAAGAGAAGCAGAGTATCCAATGCTTTTTTTCCTCAGAAACACAATGCTTGATTTGATATTTCCATGAACGTGTTAGGTTGGATTTAGGTGCATCCGACAAAATATCTATCATCAAATCTCGAGTTTTAGTGACTTGCGGGTCCTCCTCTCGTTTGTTTGGATATGACACTAATCTGGTCTTTTAGGTGTTAACAAAAGCCGCATTATGAAAAGGGCTCAGCTCAAACAAAAACGCTAATCATGTTAGTGAAATTAAAAAGTGTTTTATCTCTCTGTTTTTTCTCATTACTCAAATTGAATGAGATTGTGAAAGAAGTACGACGTTGGGCAATAGGGTAGGTTTTCCAAACGGCAGTGTCTTATTGGATCAGGAAATAATATCTCTCTGGCCTCTGGGATGTACGGAACAGCCATGAATCGACGCAATAGACCCACCTATTAAACAAAAGCTTACAAATAAGTACTATATATGATCAATAATTATGTCCATGGGGAGGTGGAGACTGGAGTCTGGACTGGACCAGGGTACAGATCTTATGGTGATCCAGCTATTTACGCATAAAATAGACCCTGCACTTGTCAATTGTCGTTTCTTCCTCCCAGCTTTTATGGGCATAGGAATGGGATCCTACTTTATGCTGGTGATGATCGGACGACATTGCTGGTGATGCAAATTTTACGTAAAGTTCAGACGTCTTATGTCCAGACCCAGACCCCAAAGCCTACTCTGTCCAATAGATTCAAAAGTAAAAATAAAAGGATACTCGATTTAGAATTATAATTTTAAATTTAGTTCAAAATTAATATTTATTTAAAATAATTTTAAATTATAATTCTAAATTATGATTTTAAATAATAATTTTGAATTAGTATTATTTAGATTATTTTAAATTATGATTCAAAATATGATGTGATATTTTAAACTAATTTAAATCTACTCATCTCTTGATTAAAGTGATTCAAACTCTTAATTCTGAATCATGATTTTAAAATCATGATTTAAACTCAAAATTATAAATTATTATTTTAATTTCAAAATCATAATTAGAATCAGCATAATTTAAATTATCGTACCAAACAAATTCAAATTAATTTAAGTAAATGGGTCATTTGTACTCCATTGAAATAATAAAAAAAGGTTTTTTGCTTGGAGTGTCTAGGTGCATTTACTCCGCAGGTAAGAACTATTTTTCTACTATAATTAATTTTTTAACAGTTAAATTTATAATAAGTGCATTTCTTTATGACGTAAATTTTTATACAAATTTATACAGATTTGAACGGTTAAAACCTATTATTCCCACCAAGAGAGCAAAATAGCATCCTTCACGTAAAGATTCCCTTTTTTGCTAAAAAAAAATAATAAAAGGGGTTTGATGAGACTGAGAAATGAGTGTCTTGTGCTTGCAAAAATGTCTTGGCAAGTTTGTGCTCGCCTTTTTGGGGAAGGCCATAGTGAGACTGAAAACTTGCCGAGGCGTGATTCATATTAGAGAGCTTATAGTTGTTGATCCGAACTTATAGGTAATACTAGCTAGGATTTACTCGTGGCATCCAAATTGGTATTTATACTATAGAGCTTTCTATGGTAGGAATACCAATCGCGTGTTTTGAGCGTTATCATATTTAAATCACATCAAATGTACACGCCTGCCAAAACCCGATACGAATGGACGATCTTAATAGAGTCCTATCAACAAAGTATTTCAAACCAGAACACTTGTACCAAGGAAACTGCAAAATCAGGGGACCTGCATCATGAAAACAATTTCAAACAGAATGATATCATTTCTCCTCTCTATGCAGATTGCAGAAGATCATATTGCTCAGACACCAAGTAGCGTACAGCCTGTAAACACTATCAATTCTCAGTAACTACAACAAAGATGCCATGATCCAAACTTCAACAATAAATTTCTATTTTTCTTTTTTGGGCAAACTATGAAACTAAAGATGAGCATTCATGAATCATGCCCTAGACGACAATACTCTCTTCATCCGCGAAACTCAAATTCAATGTTTGTAGCTTGAAGCCAGAGCCCTGTATGCTCTCAACCAAGCTGGAAGCCACCCCAGTCGCTTGCACTGTCGTCAGTTTTTCCAACTGAAAAGGAGAGAGTAAAAAATATTATCCACATTAAACATGGAATTTCTTCTGAAAAACATTAAAATTTGATGACTTCATAAAAAAAAAAATCGAAACTACTGAATTTTGATTTTTGACAAACTGATCTATAAAGTTTAGTCATTAGTTTCCTGTGGGCTGATATATTATGTGTATCATACATTTTCCCATCTTCCAATGGGGTCCAGCCGAAGAATTTAGCATTTTCCTCGAGTTCGGTTATCCGAAATTATAAATAACTTAGAACATATAATAGCGGAAATGAATGGCAGTTTGGTAAATGATACAGCAAAAAGCAAGTTGTAAAGTCAATACATACCTCAACACTTGCAATGCCCTCAATAACTTTAACTTTCAAATTGCTAACACCCTCTATTTCCTACGAGACGAGGCATGTGTCAGCAGTGTAAGAGGTTGATAGGCTAAATGCAAGAATATCCATGAAAGGTAGATAGCTCCAGCTGATCAAACTAATTGTTTAAAAATAGATAAAAATGCCATTAACCAAATTGAAAACTTTGAACATCTGAATAGATGTTCATGGTGTTACTTCCTATGTTTCACTAATTGTCTTCTAATCTTTCCGAACACCATTACAATGTCAAACTTTTCTAGAACAAACTTTCATTATAAATGGACCATAATATATAAGAATATAAACCAAAAACAACCATTTGCATTCAAAAACTGAATCAATGCCTCATCAGATAATTTTCGTGTTAAAACTGTTAACGTAGTTGCAACATAGAAATAAGCAAATATGTACTATGAAAACGGAATGTATCATCTCCATCATGAATTTAAAAATCCCATTTAAGAAAATAAGATCAAAGCAACATGCAGTTCAACCCGTAAATATAAGAACTTGGGATTATACATACCTCTAAGGCTTGGATCACAGTAGGAATAGCCGCCTCACTCAAAGTTCCATCTGCCTTCAAATATGCAAGAATAGAATGTCATTTAATACATCAAACAGCGCTCAACATATACCATTAATATCCATAAATTTCTTTATCTCATGACTGAGAAAATCCGAAACAAGAAACAACAATAAATGCAATTGTAAAGAGCAGAATATCTTTTTTTGAACCTTCCAACGAAGCAATTTCAAGAAAGAGTTGCAATTGATACGCTACCAAAGCCATTACTATAAGAACAATTCAAAGTTCGTTTCTTTGTACAATAATATGTCTTTCTATCCTTTTCTTTCTTGAAAATTGACGAATTCAACAACTTCCTGTTCGCAGAATTATCACAATCTATATATACTTCTGGAAAAATTAACATTGGCGTAGTGTCTTCAATTCCTGTGTTAATTTGACAACACAATTCCTCTCTTTTTTTCAAAAAACCTAAAGCATAAGTCTACATATATATATAAATATATATATTACCTGAAAGAACATGGTGAGAGTGTCAGAGGGCGAAACGGGGACCGAAACGGCTTGCTCTTTCGACGAAGAGGCTACCTCACCTTCAGCTTCAGCCTCTTCTTGTTGGCTGCTCCCCGGCTCTTCGTCTTGCTCCGGAGCCAGGGTTTCTTCTTCGGCGGACCTCAACCTTCTCAGTCCTCGGCGCTTGTTCGGCTTCGCCGTCGCTATCCGATGCCTTGTTGAGGAGCTGGCGACGCCGTGGCTTCGAAGGCGAACGCTTCGACACGGAAGGGACGGAGAAGAGCTGGGACTGAGAAGCGAAAGACTGGGCTTGTGAAGAGCTAGAAATGTTGAGAATGAGAGAGTCGCCATTTTCGGTTCGTTGAGTGAGAGAGAGAGAGAGAGAGCTTGCGCTTCTGTGCTTCGCTCCGTGTCATACGGCTATCCTTTAACATCAAAAGGGATTTCTCGCGGTATGAGCACTCAGACGATTTACAAAGTTACTCCGTGCGTAATCAAAGCCGTCGAAATGTTGTCCTTTTAGTGATGAGCGGGCTAAGAGGAATGTTACGAGAAACGGCATGTCGTCTGATCGATATATTTATCAGTTGGAGGGCCTTGTAATAACTAAAAAGGGTCAGATTTAACGATATCAAATTGTAGGATTTTTTTTCCCCCTCTCCGTTCTCTCAGGAACGATCTTAAATTCAATGCGAAGATTTCAACACCCGAGTTTTTTTTTTTTAAAATAAATAAAAGAATAATATATGAGTCTTAACTTTTATCCAAATTGTTTTGTTTTCTTTTTTTTTTTTGTTCTTATATGTGTTTCTAACATTTTAAATAAGGTTTACCAAATTGATACATCAATTAGTATTAAGAAATTGCAATCAATGGAAATATACCAATTTACCTCCATGAGTTGGGAGAAAAGTATGATATCATAAAGTTGAGAAAAATGTTTGAGTAGCACTACTTTTTCTTTTTCAAGAAAGAATCCCAACTGTAATTAGCAGCGCAAATATTGAAACTACAATTATAATGCATGCACAAACAAAAATACCTACATACATTATACATAAACAAAAACTTGTTTTATGTTGCAGAATAATAAGAATCACAATCTCTTTCGTCAGTATGCTTCAGAGAGGTTCCTGTATGGAAAAACTGGTCAGCAGAAGGTTTGCTACATGCAAAGGGACAACCCTGCATCCTGCGTCGAGGGCATTGTTTAAGAGAAGTTCAATTCCAAATGCCTTTTCCGAAAGTGTTATATTACAGCCATAAATAAGCATAAAAAGTATTCATGTTTTCCTTTTTAAAAAAAAGTATTAATACATCAAGACCTTGTACCATAGTTGGATATTCTATACATCAGCTGAACAAAAAGATATTCACCCAAACCATTGTGCCCACAACCTATAAAGTATTAAGAATAAATAGCAGTTGGTAGAAACTTAAGTTACATCCTCTGACAATCCTCTTCTACTTGTCCATCTGCAGATGCATACCCTGATCTCATCAATTCTACTGAAATACAACATTAACAAAGATCGAATGAAGCTCAAACTAGGTGCTTACCCTTGAGATTTATAGCTCGGTTGGCTTCAGCATCAGCCTCAAAATTGAACTCCTGACAAATGAAAAGATATATTCCAGTTTAGGAAGAGAGTAAATTCTGAGTTTCTTATCTGCGATGACGCACTATGAATGTCATTGCAATGTTGTTTACCAACTATCATACTATACTCTGTCTTGTACCATATTAAGTTCTCAGAGTTTTACAACTATACAGAAGCTTTGGTTTTCTTGAGATTAACAGCAATAGAGCATAAATAATTGATAAATCTATATCCACACACCCTCAGAACATGATTGATCTGAAACGAAACAAACTTCTCCTTGAGCTCCCTTGCCTGTTCACACAAGTTAGCCATATTCTGGTTTTTGGTTTTCCATAGACCTGAAATCTGTTATATGAATAGTTATCATTAGAATCACAAACAAATTGTATCTCATCATTGAGAGATAATAGAGGCATTTAAAATGATAATGTGGATGATAAATTGATATTAGGGTACAAAATCAACAAACCTGCATACAGACAAGTTTAGAGTCGCCCTGAACGCGTATATGTTTGAACCCTTTCTTAAGGGCATGTTTCAATCCTAAAAGCACTGAGCAATATTCGGCCACGTTACATGTTGCCTTGCCAAGCCCTTGTCGTAGCCTCCAGATCTACAAAAAATAAGAGTTAATATGAAGCTATACTTCACAAAGAATAAATGTTAACAACCTCATATACAATCAAACTGCATACCGCACTTCCATCGTCAGCACGTAAGATAGCTCCAGCACCAGCTGGTCCAGGATTTCCTTTTGAAGCACCATCAAACTCGAGAGTACAGGAAGCCTGAGAAATGATGACATAAACAAGACATTCTCACAGTTCATTTTCCAGAATAATCATTAGTCTTTAACATGTTTTTGCTTCAAGAAAAACTAAAGATATCACATATCAATATGGAAGATTATCATATACACGAAAAGTGTTAACAACCGAGTAGGCATATACAAATTCGAGAACAAGTGTCATTCAAAAAGCATGATTTTTTAGATCTTTTATACATAGAACCTGGATTTCAGCCATAAACATGTATGTAATATCACATGTCGCATCAATAGAGTTTGTACTAAACATTAAAATCAATGACAGAACACCAAATATCTTCAGACAGCAACTTACACAACTTAGAGAAACTGTTTGAGTGTTAATGTAAGTCATCGAATCATCGAACTTGAAATTTTTATTTTGAGCAACTGTCAGTATCGAACTACCTACAACACTTTCCTGCAAAGAACAAGAGTCAAGAAGCACATCTTTAGTGCCACAACATGGTAATGCCAAATAGAGGATTCTGAACATGGGACATGGGAATATAAGTTTGTAAATGAGCAATAAATATCTTCAAACAGACACTTACACGACTATACGAAACTGTAGGAGTTACAACGGAAGTCATGGAACTATCTGATTTTAATTTTTTTTTAGGGCTTGTTAATGCACTACAGCCAGCCGTCTCCTGCAAAGCAAACAAAAATTGAGTCATCACCTGCCACAGAATCAGAATGACAAAGCCAACATAAAGGCATCTGGATCCAAAAGCTAATCTGATCAAATCTCAGTGACAATATAGGACCAAGCATAAAACAAATGACTATCCTTAACTACATTCCCAATGTTGATGTTGGAAAGACTATTTTCTCATATCAAAAACTTTATAAAGCATTGTAGACATACAGCAATTTCCATTAACTTAATGGCTTCCTGCCATCTCTCTGGTGAAGAGTCGTCAGATGCTTCTACTTCAAAGGATTCTGGTTCCTGAGAAAAAATAAAAAAAAAATAAAAAAAATAAATAAATCAGTTTCCTTTGCACCTAAGTCAGAATTTAGATTCGTTACTATCTCAAAGATATAGATTATGATTTTAAATCCCCACCAATATCTATGCCTAAGAACAAAACATCCAAGTTTAGAGAGTCTCGAGAGAAGCAATAGATTCAAACCTGGTAAGGACAAGCAACTAGTGACCCAAGTTTACCAAAAAGACCATCTTTAACATCATTGACGCATACAGAGTAACAAGCATTCTTAAGCCCGTGTGAGCAAAGGAAATCCTCAGCATCCTTGGGCATATTATAGCCCTTATACACACTGATTGAAGGATCACACGCCTACAACCAAACAATAAAACCTCATGCATATATAATTGAAAGTTCAACTATTATCAAACCAATGCAAGACGCAGGCTAATTATCATTTTTAAATGGTCACGGAAAAAAATCATTTTATAAAGGTGAGGGAAACTACAATCAAGAATTGCACAAACCCATATCGAAATCGATGATGAACATGCAAAAACAGGCCACAAATTAAAATGAAGGAAACCCAGAAGAAAAAATTTCGACTAAATCCGTCAAGTTTTATTTTTGAAAAATAAAAAAGAAAGGGTAGGGTAATGAAAAAGTACCGAAAATCCTGCTAGAGATTGGCAATCGCTTAAACTCTTATATATACCGATCATCTCTCCCTTCCTAACAAGATAAAATGCGTTGCTTTCTTCCTCCATTTTTAACTCTTCAAATTCAAAACAAGCGTGAGAATTACCCAAATGGAAGCCCTAATCTTTTGTATTCAAAATTTGAATTTTGAAGCAAAGAGAAGATGGGATGGCTGCCCAGAACCCAAAAACCTCCGATGGCTTTTCCTCTCCGATCACATGTCCAAACTCCAAGGGATTTAGCATAATTGAGGTCAAAGTGTGTTCCTTTTTTTACTTTAGAATACGCGATTATGTCGTGAGGTTGATTTTTTTCTCTCGTTTTGAACGTGTGTTGACCTGCTAATCTGAGAGGAGGACGACGACGCGTTCCGGCGGAGATTGGATGGCTGCGGTGGCACTTCGATACAGAGGGGGAAGAGAGTGAAGCGAGGGCATTTCGGTTTTCTGAATTATGACCTTTTTTAAAAATATTTACGGGAAAAAGTAATAATTATGGAATTTTTTTATTGCTCGAATTTATTCTAAAAAAAAAAGGAATTCTTTAAGTGTAAAAGAAAGTGTTATTTAAAGAATTAAAACATATTTGTAATATTATGTGAGAAAGGTAGAAAAAAACTAAGTGCTAAAAAATTAAACATATTTGTAATATTTTGTGAGAAAAGTAGCACAAATTAATTGTAGATATTCGTGTAATTATCTCATAAGACAAACATAATTTGAATGTTGGTAGATTCAAGCAATATTTGAACAATAATACATGATCCACAAACTATAGAAGGATATTAGGTGATAAAAATTTATTATTAAGTTAATAAATTGATAAAAGAAAAAAATAAAATATATTTAATGTTGATGTTTGTAATTATTTTGCGAAAGTTTTTAATATTTTACCCAATATTTTCTCCATATTTCTATGATATTTTCCGAAATTCTGTAAAAGAATACACTATAATTAACAATCCTACTGGAATCGGTATTCTTTGATATTATTTCAAAAACATTTATTTAATTTGGACAAATTTAAAAGAATTTATGGGGATCGTTTTTAATAGAAGAATAAAAAAATATATTTAAATAAGATAAGAACACATTTGAAAAGAAAAAATTTATTATGGGAAAATAGAAGAAGTATTTCAACATGCACATTTAGTAGTTAAATATTTAAAGATCGAAAAACATCCACCGTCGTTTTGGTCCAAATTAACAGAATTTTGAATTTTGACGAATAAAAGGAGAAATTACATGCAATTAATATTACAGATTAAAAAAACAACTCTTTTTAGTTTCTTTGAAAAAATAAACTCTTTTTGGTTGGAACTAACAGAATTATGAATATTGACAAACAAGAAGAGACGTTACATGAACAGAATGGAATGCAGCAAAACTGGCTTCACAAGATAGGATATTTCTCAGCGAACCAAAAGTCATTGCTGCAAATAGTTCCATTGCGAAAGAGGTTGAGATCAACTGGCCATGAGACAATCTACGTGGAAGAATGCTTAGACGATTCTAGAACATGTGCGATGAAGTTTGTCAGTTACAGCAAGAGCCCGCGCATCAAAGATCTCTATTTTCCGGCACAACCTTAAGTAAACGGGCAAGGTCATAAGAATTGAAATCTTTGCCATAACAAAAGGCCAGATCCAGAGGTGTTTTTCCATCCTGAAGACAGTAAACCAACAATCTTAAGATATCTTTTTTAAGTAAAACAGAGTTTTCGATGCACTAAAAAACTTCAAAAAAACAAAAAAAAGTCTATTGTATCATGCAGTTGAAATCTGGATTCCTTGCATGTTCATCTTCACAATGTAGCTCAATTTAATCAATGATCTTTCTTGAAACAGATTTAATTGGATTCTATCCGAGCTCTAAATTAATTCACGAGCACTTTGATCCAAATCGCAAATGCAAAACTAATGTATGATTCTACTGTTCTACAAGGTTACCTTGTTTCTTCTGTTCTTATCTGCGCCGTTCAGTAATAAAACCTTCACTATATCTCTATTTCTACTCTGCACAGCAACGTGCAATGGAGTCCACCCCTCCTGAAAGATACCAATAGTCAACAAGCAGAAAAAGAAAAAGAAAAAGAAAAAACATATGAACTGTATACAGGTATTATACGGGGTAAGGCGCAAACTTTAAAGCAGTACTCACATTATCTGCAACATTGAGATCAACCTTGTATTTAAGTAATAACTTCACAGTGTGCATGGCACCAACTTGAATAGCATAATGAAGAGGTGTAGCACCATCCTGTTACAGTGATAAAATCCTTAAACATTTTAAACAGGAAAAAAAATGAAAGGAGAAATTAATAATAAAAAGGTTTAAGCTCACCCTATCTTTGACATGAGGACTCGCACCTTTTCTCAAAAGATGGCTGGTAACAACATCCTTTCTGCCGATAATTGCTGTGTGAAGGGCGGTTAGTCCGTCCTGTTTCAGAATAATCCATGAGATCACTATTCAAATTTCCAGGTGTTTCAGTGAAAATCAAACGGTATGAAAACAACTACTAGTAGAATTGAGACACAGATTATGCTTGCCTGATCAATAACATTGATATCTATGCCTTGTTCAAGTAGTTTGTCCATGAAAGGAATTTGTCCTGATAGTGCAAGAGCATGGAGCGGATTCCATTTTGCCTAAATAATTAAGTATTCAGTATTAAGAAACCACGTGTTTTAACTTTAATGTATAGCCAATATGCATAAACAAGTGAAAGTTAGTTCAATAGATAGCTGACTACTGCTTTCGGCTACACAAAACTCAGAATCAAAAGAAAGGAAGATGGCAAGAATTCAAATATTTTCAATAACTACTGTCGATATTTTTCCCAAATCGGGAGTTGCAGACTTCTGCAAGATTGCCCTTTCTTCTGGTCCTAAAAGCTGTTCAACCTCTGAAAAACAGAGAAGACTGATAAGTGACCTCATGTGAACAAAAAAAGTTATAAATTGACTAATAGCAATGATTTTGAAATTTTGGCCATATAACCTTTTACAAGTTCCTCTTTATACTTGTCCTTCTGAGACTTCTGAACACTAGCAGCTGCAGGAGCTTCCTTCTCTTCTTCCCAGTCACTTTCAATGTCCAAGTCATTCTCTTCCACGTCCTCATCGTCTTCGTCATATTCACTGCCACTGCCATCGTCAGGATCTTCCCAAGTTCCCTGATGGGTTTGCAACGACGATACTTTGTTTGACTCCGCGACAAGAGTTCGAATGCTCGAGTGCTTTTCAGTCAGATGGAAACCAAATCTTCTCCACTTTGGACTGTATTCTTGCGAGATATTGGTATTATATCTAGATGTTGATGCAGCAATATCTCCAGCGACAACAGCAAAACATAAAGGAAGCTGATTCAGTGTATAAGCGGCCGTAGCCCATGAGACCACCATTGTCTGCGTATCACACAACTGTTAACAAGTTAATGAATTTCATATCAATCCACTTGATGAGATAAAATAAGAGGATAACATCCAAATCCAATTATTATTGATCAATGTCTCTTTATCACTCCAAGTCCTCCCTAATCTGCTTCCTAAATATTCATGGCACAATGCAATGCTTTGTCTTAGACATTTTGACAAACACTTGGTGTGCAAAGCGCTACTCATTTCAAGTTTAAAAAATAAGAATAATGAAAATAAAATTGAACGTTAACATGTGCTACCGATTGAAAACTATATCACCCAATGGATGCAATGTTGACATATCCATGGGATTAATTCTAAATAACACAATACATAAAACAAATTGGAAGGAAACTTTCTCCAAGTACTTTAAAAGACCCTGGTCATCCCAGGTTTTCTGAGAAACCAAACACCAGCCTTTAAGTGACACTATGAATTAGAGATAACGAACAAAGGGAAGGAGACGAATCCATTAATGGGCAAAGATCGGATATATATTTGACCTGAGACACAGCGAAGATGGTGCTTCTGAAGAAGCGTACACGGTAGTACGTCTCCGATAAACCTTCGTAATCGTCTGATGGTAAACAACAATATCTAACTTGAAGTACAAAACAAACAAAACAAAACAAAAACAAACAGAGGTGATGTCGTGTGAATGTCTAGATTTTGCCGTCGTTGATTCGTTTATGGGGATATGTCCTGTCGTCTACTGACGAAATTCAGTTCGAGTTTCGCACGTTTTCAGAATCGGTTTTAGATTTTTAAAATAATCTCATTTTTTTTAATTTCATTCGCTTTATATTTAAGTTTTCAATTTAAATTAAAATTTAATATTTTTTAAAAATTTTTAACTGTGACAAAAAATATTAGATATAACATTTTCTCATAGTTTTATATTATAAAAATCTGAAAATTTAAATAAATGAAATGAGGCCATGAATCTTAACCATGTTCTAGCTGTTGTTTTTCTCCTCCATGTAAGTTGTCGTTTATACCTACAAACTACATGTCGTTTTTATACAAACGACAAGTAGTTGGTAGTTACAGTAGTTGCTGCCATTTTATTCAAAATTCACGTGTAGTCTAGTTTGTCATTTTTGGAGGATGCCTTGTGCTTGTGTTGTGAAACTCGTAAGCAACCGGAAAATGCAATATTCATGGTATAATACTAGAGTCAAAAGAGAGGGAAAAAACAAAAAAACAAAAACAAAACAAAAATGAAAGAATAACTGGTTTCTTTATACTGCGATAGTCATTATTATGAATATACTGATCACATATGAAATTGTACAATATTCAACTTAGTTCGCATCTCTTATGATTTCCTTACACATTCAAGTAGTAAATAACTCAACCTGTGATAAAATCTAGTTCCAGCCCAAGCTCATTAGGCAGCAAAGAGCTGGAAAATCTGTTTGTAAGTTCAACATATATAGCTGTCAGAAACTCAAAAAAAAAAAAAAAAATTACAAGTAAACAAATTCTCACTCATTGATTTCAGCTAATCTGCTCTCCTATTAAGTCCAACCCCATAACAAGAAACGACAATCCCTGGAAAAGCAAGAAATAGAAGTGGAGTCCATGAGCAGATAAAAGGCTCCTGGCTGAGGCAGTGAGTAAAAGAAAAGCAAGTGCAAGCTCCTTCTTATAGAGCTTATTGGCCTTTTTCTTAGAAGCCACTTGTACTACTATTTCTTGCTCTTTTAGTTTACTTAGCAGTTCTAAACCCGATTCGGAATACCTCCTCAAGATCTTCTCTTCGTTGGAGGACTTCGATTCCCTCTCCACGAGGGCTAATAAATCCGACTCAGATGATCTTCCCGTCTTCTTTGTCACCACCCACTCGTAAGCACTTCCGAGCTGAAATAGCCCGGAGACCATGGCATTGAATTTTGTGACTGACATTGTGTTCTCAAACAAGAGGTATGGGACCAGGAAAGGGAAGGATTTTGGTGCTGGGAGAATGTTCAAAAGGGACATACATATGGGCACATAGCAAATCACCCAAAGAGGCAGTTCAGCCTCAGGAATGAACATGGTCAATGGAAGTATAATACAAAACAATGTGAATGAGTAAAAGGGCAGTATTAACTTCCTCAGAAGAAAGAAGAGAAATATCAAGTTAGCCTTCTTCCACACTGATGTCTGCACATACAAAAATTCAACTGTCTTAGACAACTTTCAAGTATAACATTGCAGTTATTGCATTCAAATATAACAATAGGTGGAATTTAGTGTGAATCATAGGGCCAGTTTGGTATTTCTTTTTGGCGGTCTCAATAGACGTGATATTAGTATTGTTAGTCCTTAAACTATGAGAATCGTGTCACTTTGATCTTGAACTTTTTTTCTCTACAGATTACTCTCTGAATTTTTATTTTTTGACAGTTTTAGTACTTAACACTAAAATTGACAAAAAAATTTCTGAAATTTAACAAGATAATCACCGTTTTTTAAAACTAAGTCGTATATAATAGAGAAATCGTACCTTGGAAGTTATGATAGAAGGAAGGCATAATCTGAAGAGCTGCATTGGGCCAGAGTGCCATCTATGTTGCTGCTTCTTGTAAGCTTCATAAGACTCTGGCAATTCACAGAGAACTTTGACATCATTAAGAAAGACAAACTTCCATCCATTTAAATGAGCTCGAACCGCGATGTCCATGTCCTCAACCGTTGTCCTCTCAAGCCAACCTCCTGATTCCTCCAAGGCCTTGATCCTCCAAACTCCTGCAGTTCCATTGAACCCAAAGAAGTTGAGGAAAACACCATTCACTTGCTGTTCCACTTCAAAGTGGAAGCAAAGGTTGATGTTCTGAAGCCTTGTCAGCAAGTTCTCATCCTTGTTCACAAACGACCACCGTGCCTGGACTAGTCCCACATCAGGTTTCCCCTGCATCAAATTTCAGTTTCAGGAATGTTAATTATATTGACATTAATTAAACTTCGCCAAGAAAATCACTTTCTCCATAATCACTTCATTGGTACTTTAGGACTTTTAGTTAATAACTTTAACTGCACTAATAAAATCACTTTCTCCAACTGGGTGTTTTTTTTTTTTTTTTTTTTTTGGGAACAAAATCATTTCTTGGCTATTTGAGGACTGTTAGTTAATAACATTAGTTTCACTAATAAAATCACTTTCTCTAGCTGTTTTTTTTTTTATATTAAGAAAATGACTAAGAACTAACTTTTTTTTTCCTGACCAAGGGACTCACTTTCTCCAGCTGGTTGTCTCTCCCTTTTCTTTTTTTTTTTTTTTTTGAAAATGACTAAGAACTAACTCTCACTATCTCTGACTGGGTATGATGGATCACCTTGAAGTGAGGAATAGTCTGTTTAAGGAAATCAGAGTTAGGCTGGAAATCTGCATCAAATATGGTGACAAACTCATAGTCCTTGACATAATCACAGGCCATGGCTGACTTAAGGTTGCCAGCTTTATACCCAGTTCTGATCAATCTATGTCTGTACACAATATTAACCCCTTTCTGACTCCATGAAGACACTTCTTCCTTTATCAAAAGCTGCACACTTCTATCACTTGAATCGTCCAAAACTTGGATTAGAATCCTGTCTCTTGGCCAATCCAGCTGACAAGCTGCTGCTATTGATTGTGCATACACCTATATATATATATATTATAATTCACACAAACACAAATTATTTGAAAAGTTTAAAGGAAACAAAAATTTATTAATATCTTTATATAGTTTGTTTTGTTACCTCTCTCTCATTGCACATGGGAATTTGAACAAGGACTTTTGGGAAGCTTGAAGGGTCTTCAATGTCATAGCCTTCTGGCTCTGCTGTTGGCTTCAACTTCTTGTATTTGATCCAGAAACATCCAACACAAAGGACTAACCGGTCGAGCGACTGGATCAAGAACAAGACAGTGCAGAATTTGGATAACATGATCACCAAAGGAGCAACATAATCAACCCTGAAAGAAATCCAAGCCATATAAGACCACTGAACAAGGCCTTGGACTTCCCATGGCTGGATCAGATTCAGATTCCACTTCTTGAAATGGGCAATCACTTCCACAACCAAAGCCACTATTGACAGAACAAGAAAGGCCTTGATGAATCTGTAGAGCCTGCCTTTGCTTTTCGTCTCTTCATCGCTTATATCCTTCAAGGCAATGCGCTTCTTGGCCGAGACAAACATGGTCTTGAGAGCCATTGTCAGCCATGAAACGCAAGCCAGAGTTCTCTGGATTTTGAGGAGAAGAACCCACGTGAGTCGTTTGGGACTCACCGCCTTTTGTTTCTCCAGAAAAAGAGTTGATGAGCTCACAGGCTTCTCAACTGTAATCACAACTGTGTTTGGAGCCATTTTTTCTTTTTCTTTTTCTTTTTCTGGGAATCCAAACAGAAGAAGCAGTGGAATGATAGGTGGTGAGTACTCAGATGTCGGATCTTCACTCCATAATACAACAGAAAGTGATGGAAGGAAAAGCTACTCAAAAGGATCAATTTTTTTTTTTTTTTTTTTTTGGGTTATATAATTTGTTTGTGAAATCTGGATCTTTGGAATCAGAAACTTCGTACGTGAAGGTTTGAGAGTTGAGAATTGAAGTCAAACTATAGGCCACCCTCACACTCTCCTCTCAGCTATATAAATAAATGAAAAGAGAACAGAGTTTAAGTTTTTTTTTTTTTTTGGTTTTTTATTCTTTGGTAATAATTGGAGTTAGTTCACTTGTTTTCTTATACGTTTCTTAATTAGCCAATGATCAGGTGGAAATGCATCAATACAAGCCTAATCAACTTGATTGATGGCAATGAGGCTTCAACATGCTCAAATCTTGGTTCAAAACTCTGGTTAAGATTTAAGTCACATTTAGAGTAAGAATTCGTGTTATAATTTGTGACGTACTACAATATTTTCTCTCATTAAAAATACATATAAAATGAAAATAATTGTAAACCTATGAACTAAACATTCACTTACAAAAATTGAGAAAATGACAACTAGGCCACAACCCAAAATTGCAAGAGAACCCCACAAAATGTTCCACTTGTCTGCTAGTTTGGGCACCGTGCATTACTGCTAAGGTCTTTTCTTCTTTCATCTTTTTCACCCAAAATTCCTTTTCTGAATGGTTAAACTTTTTGACTAGTCCATCATAACATCTTTCATATTCATGCAATTTGTCATTAATACGGGATCTACTTTTTATATTTAAATAATTGTTAGTTTAGCCGTCGCTTTGCAAGATTTTGGATGCGTAAGCAGTGGGAAAATAACAGAAACTCAATCTCTAGCTGGTTGTTTTTTTGTGAATCATGTGTACTTGGAAAAAGATAGTTTTTTTTTTTTTTTTCTTAACACTTTGGAGGTTTTAGATAAAAAAGAAAGAGAGTAGAGTTCTAAGAATGTGTGTGTGTGAGAGAGAGAGAAAGAGAGCTAGTTAATCAAACAAAAAGTACTGCCAGAATTCACATTTTATTTTATATTCAGAAACAATTTGTTTTCCTGTATTCTGACCTTTACTATATAAGGAAAAGAGGTGCATATGAAACAAATGTACTGAAAACTTATTATTTTAGTCACCGTACTGCTTTAATTAAGAATTACAAATATAAGCAACGTCAAACTAAGCACATATTTAAAAAGATTGTTTTGTACATTGAAGCTCAAGTACTACCTTGCCAGCTGCTTCTTTCTTTTTTTTTTCTCTTTTTTTTTTTTAATTTTATACCTTCTGCTTCTGAGTATATTCCTAATTCCCATCACACTCTAGAAGCACAACCATGTTCTTTATAGCTTCAACTTTACCTTTCTAAAAAGTGCTTTTGGGTTTACCCTCCACAACCAGAAGCCATTCAAGCCAACCAACCTTCTTTCTCTTTCTCCTTCTTTTACTTTTTTTTTTTTTTTTTTTTGTGATTTTTGTATGATTATATAAAATCCCAACAGGATTTTGAAAAAAGAGCAAAGTTGGCTCTTCACATGAGAAACAAAAAGCAGATCTATGATTTATTTGCTTCACCTCAACTTTGATACAAAACTAGGCCGAGGACTATGATGATCTGACAAAATGGCCCATGTAAGCCATGTTGACAGTTTTCACTCGTACGTACACACCATTATTGCCTTTGGTGAGCATTATGTATGAGTCCTATATATGACCATGCCGTGCACATAATATAGTCTCAGGAAAGATCTTCTAGATTTAGGAAATCTCAGGCATTATTTTAGCTAATAATTTCTTCTTTTACACGAAGCTTAAAACATAAAAAATGCTTGGAGGCCGGTATTAAAATAGGTCATACTTTTATCTCTCATGTCGCAGAACTCACTTTTTATAAGTGATTGATGTTTAACACTTCTGGTATCTTATAGCATTGTTTTTAAAATTATTATCAAATCTGCTTCCAAAACTTGGCTCACTAGAGCAATAAATTAGTTCCTTGATTTTCTTGGTTTAAAATTCATTAAATTAGGATTAAGGGTAGAGAGCCCTCAAATAGTTTCCAACATTTTTTTGGCATAGTTTACAAATTCAGTTCTTTTCACTTTTTTTTTTTTTCTCAGAAGAACCATGGGAAACTCATGTTTAGGGACTAGCATTTAATGTGGTTAGGTTTCTCATTTCCTATTGTTGAGAGCCCATGTGAGCCGCACCTCTCAAACACATTTCCGGTGGAAGTCCAATAAATGAAGAACTCCTGATGATTTTGTGTCAGTTAATACAGTTAATTTAATCCACACAAAATATGTTAAAGATCTATACTCATCATGAGGTTATCTTTTTTTTTTTTTTTCTTTCAGATGAAAGTATGTAGCAACTTGTGCATTAATAATACACCAGAAACTTCTATGTGGGTTCAGGTTAATTAACAAACTGTATAATCTGTACTTGAAGATGAATATTAATATTAGAGAAAACGTTACTTTAGCTTACCATTAAATGCATTGTCTGTGAATTATATTTGTTCAGCACAGAGTACTTTTTATCTTCCCATGATTACAAGACAACAGAAAATGGTTGTCATGGATGTGACTTTGTATGGTAAGATGCTTCACACATGTTATATCTCTACAACATGATCATGACGATGGTTTTGCCAAAATAAATTCAAGGATTTACCATCACAGACTTCCCATTATTGGATAGTCCCTGTGTGTATCTGCAAGATTTTTAATACAAGTGAGAAACATCCTGTCCTAAAAACCTGTCAATCAAAAAGTACAGACTTCAATGAATGGAGTTCTATATCTTTATATATATATATATATATATCTATTTTTACATGTATATAAAAAGGGGTATGGGAACATTTAAAATAGTGAAAATATGGATAAGAATTTTTTTTTTTTTCTTGTGTCACTTTTCCTAGAAAAATGAGGTTTAAAAACAAATGGGGTTTGCTTGTTTGTGTGGCTGGATGGGCATTGTGTCCCAGCAACCAAGCAGTGAAACCCCAAGCCCCCCCAACCGGCAAAGTCCAACTAGCAGCTGAGGATATGCCAGATTACTTGCATCTCAAAGAGTGACTTTGTCTTTGGCGTTGGCAGACTCACATGTGACTTCACTAATAAATATTACAAGTATCCCCATGTGATCAGCTACCCTGAACATGGCTGTACACATCAATTTAGATTAATAATATCAGCTAGTTTCATTTCACTTGACTAAGCTGATTTTGTTATTGGTCGATTTTGTTGACAATTTTTTTTTTTTTTTTAAATATTGAATCTTGTTTATATATTGTATACAATATTATACATGGTAGTATTCCTATTTGTTGTTTTCCTTCATTTCTTTCTCCTTCCTTGAATATTGGCATTATTTGCATTGACCATCTGGAACCCAAGTGCCGGTAAATCCACTGCAAGCACATCAAAACTTCCTACTTCCATTGGTTTTTCACCAACACTTGTGTAATCTACAATGACCATTCTCTGCATGTGGCTAGAAGAAGGCATGATCACAAAAGTTTTGAGAGATGATGATGTCATGTTGGGAATCACTCGTTTAAAAAACGAGTGGCGATTTTTAAATTCGGTGGTGCCTGACACCGCTACCCACAACATACAGTGTAACAAGTGTTCTACACGAGATCAATATGTTATGTATAGTGGTGCGAGGTAATACTGATGCTTTATTATTATTATTATTATTTTCAAAAAAACTTTAAACTGGTAGATGTCGAGTTACTAATTATGGTTACATCTTCATGGAAAAAACAGCTAATACACCAACCTATATGCTCCAAGTATATGTAGAGGGTTAAAAACTTCCATATGGTTTACTAAACTCATATAGCAAGCTCAGTGCTACCATATATGACACAAAAAGTTTTCTAAAACAAGAGAAAAGGCAGCAAGCACCATATTTGTAATGGACATGCCTTTTAAGATTAATCCATAAAAATCTTAGGTCTAATACTAAATAGGGCCCTACTTAATGGGCCAAGCCATCCAAGGAGAACCATATCTACCGAACACTTCCTATCCAAAACTCAATAAATTGGCAAGACAAACGCTCCAAGAGGGTCATTCTCCATTAAAAAAAAAAAAAAAAAATCTCTCTTTCTTTTTTGCCAAGATGTCATTATCATGATTTAGATACAAACCCATTGGCTGAATTATCTATGTCACCCCTTGCCGACACATATTAGTAAAATACACTACACAGTACACGTATAATTAGTGATTTTACCCACCAAACAGTTTTTTATACTGTTTGTCTTCATATTACTGTTTGCCTCGACCAAAAGACTGTGATATAAGCCATAACAAGAGAAACAAACAACCCATGAAGGGTCCAAGAAAGTTTGGCATTTGGCAGACATGGAATTGGGAGAAGGATTACTATGACAAAAGTCAGGAGAATGTGAGAGTGTCTGAGACTTTTATAAAAGATTCTAGCACTTGTCCCTTTGGTGAAACGTCCATTTTTTCCCTTTTTTTTCCCGTTTCTTTTTATGCAAATCGAGGTTTGGACATGTTGGGTAAGTGCATCAAATTATTTTTGGATAAGTTATTATTTTGTGTTTTTAGATAAATTACTATTTTGCATTTTTAAACAAAAATTATTTTATGGCTCATTAAGAATCTATAAATAAATGCTTTGTGTAGAGTTTTATGTGGTGAGAAAAGTAGAGAAAAAATGAGTGTCTCTTTGAGAGAGAGAGAAAGTTGATTAGAGAGATGAGTAAAAGTGTAAGGTTTTGGATTGAGAAAATTGTTGAGTGTGTAATTCTAAAATTATTAGTAAATTGTCTCTCTAATATACATAAAAAAAATGTTCTAAACCATTTAAATCCTCGTATTCTATTATGTTATTTTTATTTCAATTTATTTTTCTAATACATAGGTATAAATATAAGGACGTGTTTTTTCCTAATAAGACCAATGATTTAATGCATATGGACCATGATGTGACCAGCTTTTATGATTAGTATGTATCAGCAATTTAATGGCTGTCCAAATACCACTATTTGTCTTTCTTGCTAGCTATATCAATATTTTAGGGGAATAAACTTCATTACAGGTTTCTATCAATATTTTTTGATTACAGGTTTCTATTGTTATGCTTCTCTGAGTTCCTTAAAGTCAGGTTGAGCACCTGAACACTTTCAAGACCTTGATGGAATTTTAGAATAATAGAATAAGGTTGTCACATGAACATAAGTGAAGCATTGCCCAACAGAGGAAAAAGCTTGGGACGTTTGGAAGAGGGATTCGTATCATGATTCGAATCATAGTTCGTGGCTCGTTACAGTATTTTCTCTCATAAAAAAACACACGTAAAACGAGAATAGTTCTGAATTATGGTTCTTAATCCAAGAACCAAATGTTTTGATTCCATCCCAAAAAGACAACTGAATAAAATACGCGAAAATCTTCTTGGAATTTGAGCTTTAGGAATTTATGTGTTCAATTTCAACAAAACATGCAACAGATCTCTCAACACCAGAGTATATAAATATATAGGTGGTCATCTTTGGAATATTTAAGTGGGTGCATACAATCTATATGACTTAGGCCTTGTGGAAGTGTGTCCGTAGATTTGTTTAGGGACTACTCCAAGTAAGAGTCTAAAAGAATAATATTCGGACGGATTCTCGAGTCTTATCTCGGTTTAAAGGGTTAATTGTGCTTCTTCGATAAATTAGATTGATTTTTCTAATTTTATTTTATTTTATTTTGATTGTCAAAAGTTTTGTGATTTTGTGCATTTGATTTCATGTATTTAGTTTTCTGTTTTTGATGGTTAGTCTATATAAATTGGCTACAAGCTATTCATGCTCGATTTTGTGCATTTGATTTCATGTATTTAGTTTTCTATTTTGATTGTGTAATTTGTCTATATAAATTGGTTACATTATTACAAGGTACAAGCTATTCATGCTCGATTAATGACTATGGAATATAATTTCAATATTATTCTCCCTCTTGATTGCTTCTTCCTCTTCTCTCCCAATTCTTCCTAATTTCTTCTTCTTTTTCTCACATTTTCTTCCCTATTGTTCTACGTCAATTGATATGAATTCTTTGTTCTCTCACTAAATCTCCTATTCTCACTTACCTCTTTAGTTCTACATAATTGTGTCAACTGCTACATCAAGTAGCTTATAAATTAGGGGCAACTTGTTAAAGGGATGAGAGTTTAAGGTATTAGAATGTAATTTAATTGTCTTGGGCCTCTACTGCATAGTCAATTAATCTACAAGTTCTTCAATGAACCATTGTTGTCTCTCCCAACAACCACACATGAGTCTGACTAATTGTTTGTCCCCAACATTATCAATTGGCCAGATGGAAACTCTCTGTCACAACTCACAATCACCGCCCGGGTAGAGTTCATAACGTTACTTTTGGCCGTCAAACACTGACTAATTAGATCATAATTATTTGATTTACTCTTATTATTAGTTTACTAATTCATCCTAAAAGTTTAAGTTATTAAGAGGTGGGCCAATAATAATTTTATATTTTAATACTCTCCCTCACGTGTGAGCTGGACAATGGACATGGGTAAATTAATTGAAAAGCTTAACACGTGAATATTTAAGCCTGAGATAACCCAACATGTGATGACAATTTAAATGTGGATAAATAGTGTAATTACGGGAATTTAAACTTAAAATTTCTCGCTCTGATATCATGTTAGTTTATCAATTTATTTTAAAAATTTAAGCTATTAAAAGGTAAGTCAACAATAATTTTTATATTTTTGACGGGAAGAAGCTTTATGTGAACACAAACGGAGAGAAATTAATAAAAATTCTATAAGTTTATTAACCTTTTTGGTTTTCAGTCAATGATGAAATACTGAAGGGGTTGGCAAGAGGTTCCTCATTCATGCACATCGCGTGGAAAAAGCTTTAGCTGTAGAAAAGCAGCCATTCACCAATCACTTAGCAAGCCACTGTAAAAAATACAAAAAGCAGCTAAACACCTTCTATCATTATCATTAATCTCTTCATTTATGTTTTTTTAATTGTGATCTTAATCTTTGATTGAACGAGTTCAATCCTTATAATTGATAATGATACGTACTTATCCATTGAATTACAAAGCCACAGCCGTCTAGAATCTGCAGCCGGAAATGGATTCTTCTGGTACTTCAAATTTTTAGTATTTCACCAATGAAAGTGTATGCTTCATTGTAGTGACTACTGACCTAAATATCCCGACTCAGGTTGAATCAGACCCTATCGCTTCCCGAACCCTCGCATCTTAAACATTTTCCAGGAGGAATAGGAATTGCATATCTGATGGTAAAGGCTGGAAGCTTTTTTAATGGGCTTTTTCTTTTACTAGAGCCAAAAGGAGAAAAGAAATGAATATGAGTCTAGATTTTTATCTCTTATTCTTGATCAGTGTTATTTTAATCAAATAATTATATTAGTCAAAAGAGTATTAATTAAAAGTAAGAGATAAAAATCAAGACTAATACACTCTTTAATGATAAATTCAGTAATTTTCCTGAGCTAAAATAATGCTTAATAAAATATGATTTTCCTTTTGATTTTTCAAGTAGTAGCTGGTAGCATTTCTCCTGCAATATTTTAAAGCTGATAGTTCAGTTCAATAAATAACCTAACTAGCAATTTGATAACTTGCAACGTCCAAGGTGATGTAGCTTTCGAAGTTTATGGTTGTAAATCTCAACCAAACCAAAGGTCGGATCAGGCCGGCCGAGCCATTCTCTGCATTTAGGTTCTTGACTATCCTAAGATTGATTCTTTCATTGTTTAGAAAAAGTTTTATCTGTTTCCCTGTATATTGGAAGAGGATGCCACTTGAATATCTATCCCGGGAGAAGTACATAGCACTCGTCAAGTACGTTTTTATATACCAGGAAAATTCTTGCTAAAATGAATAAACCAAAAACAAAAAAACTTTTGGCATCCATTGAGTAGAGAGTCGAGCATAGTTCAACCAAAACACTTGATAGGGAAAACAAAAAAATTATATATATATATATATATAGGAATTGTCTCCAGTTCAGTACCGAACTAAAGTGACACTTGTATATTTCTTAAAACGTGTATTATTTCTCTTTTAAATGTGTATATTTTCACTTAAAACGTGTACATTTCCTTTTATGATAAAATATACAATATATACATGTTTTAAGAAAAAATATACACGTTTTAAAAAAAATACATATTTTAATAAAAAAAGATATACGAGTGCCGCTTCAGTCCGGTACACCGAAAACTTGGCCTATATATATATATATATATATAAATATATATATAATCAAGAGAATGGCAGAGAGCAATGTTGTGAGCCATGCATGTGGTTCATGTGAGAAATACCCAATGCAAAATAGAGAAAAAAAAATAGAAGAGGGAAGAAGAGAGAAACGGAGGCTAGGTTTTCACATTATTGCAATTTGCTTAACAAAAATACATTTAAAAAAAAAAAAGGAAGGTTCTATAGAGCCCCAAGCAAATAATAAAAGGCCAATTAATTTATCCTTATAAATAAAGAAAAATAAATAGACATAATAATCCTAATAATTCGTAACAGTACTTCAGGCCTAATCCTGCCAATCCAAGATTAATCCCAGCAATGCAATTAAGAGGGCTTAGCTTTGTTACTGTAGTTAATTCTAACGAGCTTGTATGATAATGCTTGATATGGTTGTAAAAGAGCATTCATGAAACTACTCTGCCCTCTAACTCTAATATTATTAATGTCTTGTTCCAAATTTAGACTCTCAATTTCCATGTTCTTCAACGCACGCTTCACCTTGTGCTTCCAACATTTTTGACGATTTAATCGGCAGCACCTCACACTCCTTCTCCATCTTTGTACATTCTCAGAAAAGTCCTATTTATATAATATTAACCAAAGGGAAAAATTAAAAAGTTACTCAAATCCAGAGAAAAACCATCATGATTAATATTATGGTTGAATTGTTTGATTGTTTCAGTGCAGTAAGCATATTGATTTGGGTGGAATTAAATTTAACGAAGGATTTGTAATTTTAGTACATACCTTAATAAATTTGGAGTCGTGATCAGATGATGATGCTATATAAATAGTATGCCGGCGAATAAATATGCGTCCGACCGCATCTTTAACGCTCAACGGTGACTTACTAATGTCAAATATAAAGTTCTTATTCACATCCTTAAGGTTGTGTAATTATATTGCATAGCAGTGAATAACTGAAATCCTTATGGAAGATCAAAATATTCTGCATAAAACCACAAGGCGGAATTTATGTAAGCACACAAGAGATGTCTGATGCTAAGATCAGATATTAATACGAGAGAAACATCAGATTAGAAGAAAAATATAATAATTACTATAACAATAATGATTACAAAACATATACCTGCTTGGCCTCGGGCTCGCATTGAACAGCCATTCTCACATCTTTACGATATTGATTGGTTTTGGCAAATAATTTCTCCAATATGTGCAACCAATGAGCATTAACAGGTTGGATTTGACGGTGTGAACAAGAGAATTGCACACGCAATAAATTATTTGATCTGGGCAGAGAAAATAAAGGGTATTCATTGTCCATGAACTCTGCAAAACGCAAGTTTGGAGCATCAATCACGGTGTCCTCGTTGAAGCCTTTGCAATATCTGATGACTAATTTACGCAGGCTTGGGCTACAAATCTTTATAGCTTCATTGTTAGCATTATGAAGGGAGTGGAGATCCAAATTCTCGAGGGAAACAAACCTAGAAACCATAGTTTGAAGCCAATACTTATTTGGAAATTCGATCTCGCTCAATTGTAGTTGCTCCAAACTCTTGTCACAAGCAGCTAAAGTAATCTCAGGCCTGATCTCTGAAAATCTAGTGCCAGAAAACGAGAAATTGCGGAGATTCCGTGCATGTATATTAACTCTTTTGAGATAACTACAGGAACGGACCTCAATGCTTGTGATCCAAACTAGACCTGAAACTTCAAGAGTTGGCGGACCGTCGCATACGATGAGACTCAAGCTCTTGAGCAAAGGAATGCTTTGTGGATAATATCTGAATTATTTAATTTCGTTTCCATCAAGAGTAGATCTTGGAGGCACGGAAACTTGATGTTTTCAAAACTATCCTCAAAACGGCATCTATACAATTTCAATGTGGTTAGTGTGTTTGAAGGACCCAAGTTAAGAGGGAAGCCTGCGGGTATGTGAGTAGCCCAGATGACTAGTTGTTTGAGGCTGTTACCTGCGGCTAATGCAAAGTCTAGCCACAGACTCATTGAATCCAATATTTTATATTCCATGTCCTGCGTGAATGACGTATTCCAGGATATATTCAACTGTTCTATTCCAAGACCTTGATGAACATACCTCTCCAAGGCTTTCATCGTGAATTCCGGGATCTTCTCTTCATAAGGCTTCAACATCTTTAAATCTAGATCCACTATGGGGCGTGAATCCCATGCGCTTTTCCATGACTTCGAAAGGACGCTTGTTTGAGTTGTTGCCTTTGTAGGAAGGAATTTCAGTATGCGATGAATAACGCCTTGTGGCAATTCTGAGAACAAATCCATGGTGATTCCAATCACAAAACCCTTTTTTTTTTCAATATTGGAATAGAACTTTTTTCTTATTGGAACAGAATAAGTTCTCTTTTATTTTTTTTCTAAAGAACAGTTATCATCCTTCCTTTTTAATAGAAATCAAACGGATAAAAAAGGGAAGTTGCCAAAACATAGTTGGGAAAGTATCTATAAAGTATGGGAATTTCTCTTGTATTCTCTCCTTTTTGGAAACATTAGTATTAGCTGTCGAATCTGTAGTATGTTTTCAATTTGATTTGACTTTTGACCATATTTAACACAGATCCGACTACTGATAAGCAAGAAACACCGTTAGAGAACACCAGAGAAGGTCTCATATAATATAACCAAATCAGAAAATTATTCAAAAATATAAGATTTATTTTTCACGGTTATCTATCTAAATAAGATAATGAGATACTGAGAAAATTATTTTTTTAATATAAAGGAAACCGTATGTCAAGATTAAAACTACCTTATGGCATTTAAACAACGACACTCAAAAATAGAAAGAAAAAAAAAAACAACCGTGCTCAAAGTTTCCCTTCATTTGATTGGGGACAGTTTATAAATTTGCCTCGAAATTTCCCTTCAAATATCAATATCACATCACCCTTAGAAATAAAATAATAATAATTAAAAAAAGAGAGACAGTCGCCCAAAAGCGATCAGGAGAGTGTACATATTATATGCAAATCAGGAAATAAAAATTAAAATTTTTCATAAAAAAATAAGAAATAAAAATAGTTTTATTCAAAATAAAGAGTTAGTGACCAGACTTTGTGAAGAAGGTAATGAGCTGAAAAAGGAATCTCATATGTATCTTTGTCAAATTCATCATTTGCACAGCACAGTATTTGCTTATGTTTGATGGCATTAATTCACTACTAGTCATAGTTTCCCTATTAATTGGTTTGTTAACATATTTTACTATTGGGTTATTGGCACAAATGGTTCCCAACCTCTTTAATAGGTGACAATTTAGTTTTTAATCTTTTTTTTTTGACAAAATAACCCACAACTTCTTTAAACATGTGCAATTTGATCTTTTCCATTAAACATACCAATATTTGAATTTAAAATTGCACCAAAAATTGACCCAAAAATTTTTTTTGGTAAAAGTCAACTCTCAAGGCAAAGTCAACTGGTGACTGGGACAGGACTGGGTCGGGTCAACCCATCCCGGATAATCATTCCAGCCCCCCCTTTATTTCTGAATTATGTGCCCAATGGCCTTACTTTTTTTTTTTTTTTTTGAAATATAGCTGCGGGCTTTGGCCCGCAGCTTTGTTTTCCTCTCACGGGCTCAATTAGGCCCGTGTATCCTGAGTGCAGCCCGCTGGGCTGCCTTAAACTCCTTTTTCTGTTTTGGCTGCGGGCCAGAGCCCGCAGCTTCCACAGTTACGGGCCCAATTGGGCCCGTGTAAACTAAACTGAAAACCCTAGAGAGACCCTTAGGATTTTCAGTTAAGTTTGCACACCCAATTGACCCTTAGATGAAGCAGAAGGCGGCCAAACGGCCTCCACAGCATATGCCGCGGCCAGATGGCCACGGCTGTTTCTCTCCGGCGCGGCCCAACGGCCGCGACCGGTAAAGCCCGAACGCCGGCGGTAGCAGGGACTTCCGCCGGCCAAAAAGAATTTTTTTTATTTTCCTTAGGCGGCGGCCTCTCTTCCCCTTTCTGCCGCGGCTCTCCTTGCCGGCGCGGCCCAACGGCCACACCCTGAATCCTCAGTGCCGGCGGCAGTGAAGGTTGCCGCCCCGGCCAATATCTTATTTTGGGTTAAAAATAATCCAAACAGATATAGTTTCCCTTATTCCCAGATTCAACCGAAATATACATGTCCAAATAAACCAAAATTTGTTCTCAAATCCAACAACACCAAAACTAGGAATTGTTAAATCTGAGAATTCCTACGAGAATCACATAAATACTGAATTGATTCCTAATTATTCAACGTTATACCACTTGTTAGATAAACTTACATTTAAAAGATGAAAACCATCATCAAAATCAGGATTGTTCATGTCAAATCATCGAGAGAAATAACAAGAAACGAGTACCTGAACCCATAGAGTATGACTTGATTCCGGAGTTTGGAGATTGTGGATCTTTCAAGTCTAGCACACAAGCCCCTCCTTATAGAATGACTCTCTCTCTCTATCTCTCACTTAATTTATTAAGGCATTCTATCCGTGGTTATTAGAAAGTTTAGTTTATAAATTTAGAATTATAATTTAAAATTTTTTTTTATCTATATTTTTTAAAAAAATATTATAATAACAAGCCCCTCCTTATAGAATGACTCTCTCTCTCTATCTCTCACTTAATTTATTAAGGCATTCTATCCGTGGTTATTAGAAAGTTTAATTTATAAATTTAGAATTATAATTTAAAATTTTTTTTTATCTATATTTTTTAAAAAAATATTATAATAAACTTGGTCCCCTTGATCACGCTGTTAGCACGTGGGCCTTGATTGGCAGCAATGAAATCAGGGTCGTAGATTCCAGGAAGTGGGACCATGGACTCCATGTAGGGCCTCAGCTGCTTTTGGAGGTCAATGTCAAACACTTTTGCTCTTGCCATGGCATCAGCTAGGTTCATGTCGCTTATGTCCCAACCTCCAAACACAACGTCATCTGGGTTTACCTATATATTATATGAAGATCTTTAGAAAAAGATTTTACTTCACATTTCACTACTTGTTTGTCACTATTTATTAATTTATTTTCATTGTACATAGTACGATCATTTCAGCATAACATTGTCACGTATATATATTAGTGTCATTGGCGCAGTCTAGTATGAAAAATGTTTAGGGCTACCAAAGGTGTTTAACATAACGTCAAATAGAAACTGGGGCCCCACCTACCGGTATTGAGCCTCGAGTATTGTTCATATTAATTAAATACATTCGTTGATTCAAATAATTTTATATTGAGACGTGACTTTATAGAAGAGTTTTTTTACTATAGTAAAAAAATTAAATGGGTTGTTTCTAAGAACTCTTTAATGTAAAAAAATTTAAATTGATGAAATGAATTTTAGACTCAAATCCCTAAGATGTATATCACAAACCAATTGCTACGTAGAGATAAGAGGTCACCAAGTATGTCACAAGAATTTTGCATTGATTGAAAAAACAAAAGCCATCATTTTCATTTGTTCCTAGTAATTTTACTTATTTATTTTTTCTTTACCATGGGAAGAAGGTTCTTGAATGGGGCATAAATCTCCTCGCCATTGAAAGACCCAACACGAATGGAGGATGCTTGGGTCAGTGAGCCGAAGTAATTGGCTTGCTGCACCTTATCTTTGGTTGCCCAAGAGATACCTCTGAGAAATACAACACACCCAAATCTCAAAAACCAAAACTAAAACATATTCATAATAAAATAAACTCTACATATACAGACAAATTACTGTAAGTGACAGATACATTTAACATTTCTTGAAATAAAAAAAAAAAAACAAAAAAGATTGGCAAACATTAACCAAAATCTATAACTGAAATCGGAAAATTTAATAAACTAACAAAAAGGAAACTCACTCTCGGTTCGCTATGACCCCACCAGTGAGAGTTGCGCCATTGTTTCCTCCCCATCCCACCAGCATGACCCTGCCAATATCAAAACGTTATTATTATGATTAAAAAGGAAAAAGGAAAAGAAAAAAAAAACCAACAAATTGTTTGCAACAAAAGAATATATAATCATTTAGGGAATAAAAAGGGAAATATATAATCATTTTACTAAAAAGATTTCTTGAACATAAAAAGGGAATAAAAATTACCCTAATTTAGGGACACGAGTATCAGTTTTGAACTCGTATTTGACAGTTTTGGGCTTGACAATCCACTGGTAGGTTCCTTTCCTATTCTCATGGACAAGCTCTGTGGTTTCATAGTTGTACACGGAGTGAATCTCACCCTCTCTGTACGTTACGTTTGGGCTCTCAACCTTAAAGTTTTCGATGAACATTTTCCCGAGAAAATGAGAGAGAAAATCGGAAAGAAAATGAATTCAACAAAAAAAAAAAAACCCCCCAACTTGTCTCTCTCTCTCTCTCTATGAGCGTTGTGTGTTTGTGCTCTCTCTCTCTCTCTCTCTCTCTCTCTATGAGCGTTGTGTGTTTGTGTTTATGCACCTTCAAGGTTTGCTCCAATGCGCTGTATTTATAGAGCAAAAATGTTGTTGACACGGAGATACACGTGGCGAAGAAATAGGACGTGGGCCCGCAAATATTATTGGCGTTTTGATTTTGGAAAAGCCTGGCCATGCAGAAAAAGAAAAAAGGAATGAAAAAAGAAATATATTGAAAACAGAAAAAAGACTTTTTTTTGTGGTCCTTCACTATTTTTATTGACAAAATTTCTCGTATCATAAAAGATTAGAGATTAACGTAACGTTATGTATAGATTCAAAATCATAATTTAAAATTATTTTTAATTTATGTGTATTTTTTATAAAAAAAATATTATAATAAATTATAATTTATAATTTAAATTGTGGTTTAAATTTTTTAATTAAATAGACGCTTAATTATGCATTATCAGTGTGTTTGATAGGATGAAAAAAGAAAGAAAAAAATAGAAAAACAATTTTACAGAGAAAAATGAAAATTTAAATTATTTAATAGAAAGAAAATGATAAAAGAAGGAAAAAAAAAATTTATGGAGTTTATTAATTTTTAATCCTTCTAATTTTAGAAAGAAAAAATGAGAAAAATTTTTAACAATAAAATGAGATGTAAAATAATAATTTTAATTTTTTTCATTTATCATGTTTTGATTTGTATTGAAGTATTATTATAAAATACTTTAAATTTAACATTTTCTTTTTTTTTTTTTTTTTACTAAACAAAATGGGAGAAAATTATTTTATTTTCTTCATTTAAATATTTTACTTCTCTTTTTTTTTTCTCTTTTTTACCCATCCTACCAAACATAGTATAATCTATAATGGTTTAAAATTCAAATTGATCACTTTAATTGGACTAACCTCATATAACCTATAATACACATTTATTTAATATATTAGCCCATAAATTGGATTTAACTCCAACATTGGCGTCTTTTGTGGAAATTGCACTCAGGGCCACCTCTGTCAAAAACAACTCTGCCAAGGCATTCTAAGGGCTCGTTCATTTCACTGATTCGAGTTTGTAATTTGAGTTGAGATGTGATTTTATGTGAGAGCTTTTTACTGTAGCAAAAAAGTTAGAAGTGACTGTTTCTGAGAACTTTTTACTGTAGCAAACTCAAATTCTAAACTCGAATCGGTGAAGTGAACGGGACCTAAGTTAACCTGTAAATAGTCATTATAGCATCAATTGTTTCCACGCTGGTGTACGAGGATGGGAAAAATAAAATAAAGAAAACCAAACAAATTATGGCCCTGTTCATTTCGCTGATTCGAGTTTAGAATTCGAGTTTTGTTACAGTAAAAAGCTCTCACAAACAATCACATCTAACTTTTTTGCTACAGTAAAAAGCTCTCACATAAAATCACATCTCAACTCAAATTAAAAACTCGAATCAACGAACTAAACGGGCCCTATAAATTCACAAATCATAGTGAGGCAATATACGTGATCAGATCAAAGAGCAAAATTGCTTCTGAAGTGAAGCAATTACTTGATGGACAATCCCTAATCCAGGAGGAACAACAAGCATGTTGTTGGGTAAAAATATTTATTAATATTGAAATAATACCTTACACATAACATAATTTTACTTATACTGAGATTTAATTAGTATACGAGTTTATTATCTTTAGTTTGACCTATTCAAAATTATAAGAATAACCTCTTAATTACAATCCCTTGGTACAAGGGAAAACCTTTTGATTCCAATTAAAGTAGTAAATTCTGTTTTCTGTGAATTTGAAAAATTTAAGTTGATTTAAAATTGCGGCTGAACTCGGTGAATTTAGCCGAGTTGCCTACATACTCCATTAAGGGATCAAGCCACTTGTAGTTCGAATTTGGAATTGAGATTTTTGTTTGGATAATTTGGTTTTAAATTTGAAATTTGTATTTGGATAATTTATAGGTGTATGATTGTCTGAGAAATTAAAATAACTTTGAAAATTTGACTCGAAATTTAAAATTTAGATAATTCCTCAGTATATCACCGTGTGAGGAATTAAAAAGCCTTTTTGAAATTTGATTTTAAGATTTGAATTTTGATAATTCCTATTTCAAAATTAGATTTGAATAATTCCTCGGCATATGACCATACGAGGAATTAAAAAGATTTTAGAATTTTGACTTAAGATTTAAGTTTGGGTAATTCCAAGTGGAATTTAATTTGAATTTGAAAATTGTAACTGCACCTAGATTTTATATCTAGGTTACCTACGTATCCAAAATAGAATCAAGTCTTCGTAGTTCTTGAATTGCATTTTGATTTTGGAGAATTTTTCGATATATGACCATATGAGGAATTCAAAGATGTTTTAAAATTTGATTTGGAATTTTACTTTAGAATTTGAATTTGAAAGTTGTATTTGGATAATTTTCCGATATATGACCTTATGAAAAATTAAAAGGATTTTTTTGAATTTAGTGTTGAGATTTTTTTTTATTTAAATTTAGGATTTAAAAATTATATTTTAATCACCATATAATTTTATGAGACAACGAACTCATCTTTTTAAACTAAAGGACCATGCTCAACTTGTGCACTTTAAATTTTTAAATATTTAATATTCTAAATTTCTTTAAAATTTATCCTTTATCTCATATTTTTTTTTAATTTTAAATCTCATCATATCTAAACCGATTAATTCAATTATATGATATATATCATTTCTTTTTTTGTTAATAATTTAATTTAAAAGGAAACTTGAATTTTCTTCATCCTTTTACGCGTTTCTTTATATATTATATATAAACCATTACGCAAACGTTACGGCAACCGCAAACACCACCGCAAGTGCAAAGCAAGTCTGACAACTTTTTGATATATATACACGTGTACGTGAAGGAAGAAAAACATCAATCTCATCATATCTCGATTTGTGTGTAGAGCTATCAACCCAACCCAAGTAGTTGCTCCCTTTTTTTTTTTTTTTCGGTAGTCTATTGCATATGTTTTGACGTTAGAAGAAAACGTGTATCAGTGTCTTTCCATTCTTTTCTCTCACACATATATATGTATATATGATTCAGTTTTTTTTTATCGTTCTTTCTTTTTATTCATTTTTTTGTTTTTTTAACAGATCGTCTCTTACAGCATTCTATCATACAGAGTTATCCCATCCGTCAGTTTTTTTTTTTTTTTGTTTAAGGCCTCGTTCGTTTCACTGATTCGAGTTTAGAATTCGAATTTTACTATAGTAAAAAGTTCTTATAAATAATCACATCTAATTTTTTTATTACAGTAAAAAACTCTCATATATAATCACATCTCAACTCGAATTCTAAACCCGAATCAGCGAAACGAACGGGCTCTTAGTCTTTTGACTAAAATTTTTTACAAGAAACGGAGACATCAATCTTTTTTTTTTATTTCCGACTGCACTTTGTAAGTTAAACCCAAAATTATAATTATAGTCAGATTCATCACATATATATACATATGTATATTTTTTTAGAGGTTCTAATTCTTGCAACCTTATGATTTTGTAGAGTTTTAAAATTTACAACTTTATTTGATTTTTTTAAAAGTTTTAAATTTTACAACCTCATAATTTATAGAGTTCTAAAATTTATAACTCTATTTTGATATTTTTTTTAAAAGTTCTAAAACTTACAACCCCATAATTTATAAAGTTCTAAAATTTACAACTCTATTTTGATTTTTTTAGAGGTTCTAAAACTTACAACCTCATAATTTTTTTTGACTGGATTCAAAAGTTTGCAGCCCGTACGTCTTAAACATGAATCTGACTAACAATGCCAGATGAACTTCTTATCTTGAGATGGTACTTCGGTACAGAAGAAGGCTTGAGAGAAAAAAAAAACGTGTAGACAATTTCATGTACAAAACATCATAATGAAATTAAAGTAGATGAGTAAAGGATAAATTTTTCTACCTCTTCTTTTTTCTGACAATTCTCTGTACACATACAACCTCACATTTCTCCCACTACTTCCAATACATTCACTTTTTTATGCATAGAGCTGTTTTTTTTTTTTTTTTTTTTTTTTTTTTTTTTTTTTTTTTTTTTTTTTTTTTACGTGGGTCTTTAATAGTCTGCCCTCCCATGTCGATATATAGACGTTTGAAGCAAACCCACTACTTTTTTTTGTATTTATTTATTTAATTAGTCAATCACTTTTACCCCCACCAATGTATAACAGTTTTGTAGATTTCTCCACATAAATTTTTTTTCACCAAACCCCCCACTAACACATTTTACTCTTTCTTCACGCACCCACTACTTCCAGGAAGTTTTCCAACCTCCCACGTGACAATTGTAGCTTTTTTTTTTTTTTTTTTTTTTTTTGCTTTAACAGATGCCCCCTCGAGTATGTTCGTGACATTTATGTTGGTGTGTCATACTCGAAAAAAGAAGAAGAAAATCTTCTATTTTTTTTACAGGCTCATTTATAGATGCTTTTGGCAAACTTTGTTACGAGCCCCTGAGGAATCTGGCAAAGAACTTACTTCAGAGCCAAGTTACCAACGTTCGGTTGGTTTAGATGAAGTTCGAGCTTCAACAAGATTTAGCGGTCCCCTTTATTTGCTTAGGTCTCGTTCAATTCGCTGATTCGAATTTTTAATTCAAGTTGAGATGTGACTGTTTGTGAGAGCTTTTTACTGTAGTAAAACTTGAATTCTAAACTCGAATCAGCGAAATGAACGGGGCCTTAATTCTTAAGAAGTTTATTCTGGTTATTTAAGATATCTCTTCGATGGTGAATAAAACGTCATCCAATTGAGTAAGAAGAAAGGTGTCGTTTTCAAAGCTGAAACCCTTGAGGAAGTTGACAATGGGCATGAAGGGGATCTCAGGAACGCGGTTACTCCCGATTTTTACCATGGTTTGCATCGAATGCTACAAGAAAAAAAAGAAACCTCCTTTGCAATTCAATTTTCGTGGTC